CATAAAGTATATCATCGTATCCTCAATATCTACCTCAGAGGCTCCTCAAGTCTGAAAAGCCTTGTTGCTGCAGGAACAGTGAGCTTGAAGTTCATCACTTTCGATTTCAGAATTCTAATCAATCAATGCGTAATCACCAAAACTGCAGGGACAAGTTTAAAATCAAACAAGGTGACTAAGCTATAAAAGGGAATTTAATCTGGTTTTCTACTTCTCAAGACACACCCTATTCCCTACATAGTGCGCAACTTTTGACCAGAACCCTCATGGAGATATTCAAAGCGTCAAGGCCAGAGGAGGTTAGCACCTCCGAGCCTCAACAGTATATTGCTTTAGTTGACCCGGGTGAACTCCATCATGATGCCTTAAATCATTCATCTCACTGCATGTTCATTTCTTTCTCTCTCACTCACATACTCTCACACACACACACAGAATAAACACAGCCACCATTCAAGTTCCACACCACATCAATGTTTCCCAACCAAATAAGGACAAGTCTGTCTGATAATAGAATCCCTCGATCCTGCATCATCACACTCATATTCACAGCCCAATGCATCCTATAATCAATGACATGCCAATTCGGAGAAACCCAAAGCACAGGGAGAGATGTGTATAATTAATTATCCTTTTGTCTGCTTAAAGGAGTTGAGCTTTGCTAAACACAAAATGGCAATTTGAGCGCATCCACAACAGGCGGAAGACACAGGCTGCCTGAAATAAAACAACCATTGATTTCTATCTAATTAAATAAACATTAAATACGTAATCATGTCGCTTTTACTTTGTTCTTGATGCTGCGTGTATTTTTTGAATTGCCATTGAATTCGTTATGTAAATAAATTAAATTGTGCCAATAGATTGTGCCTCCAGGACATCTGTGTGTTTGAGGAAGATCGTCAAGGACTCCAGTCACCAGAGCGACGGACCTTTCACTCTGTTACCATCTGCCAAGCGGTATCGGAAGCATCGGGTCTCAGACCAACAGGCTCCGAGACAGCTTCTACCGCCAGGCTTTTGGACTGCTGAACAGCTAACCCTAGCTGTCTCTCTGCACAAACATGCACCTTAGTGACTATTTGCACCTTAGGAGACTAGCTGCACTGAATCTACACACAAGCACACACACAGCCATCCATAAACAACCATGCACACAGACTATTTCACACACACACACACACACACACACACACACACACACACACACACACACACACACACACACACACACACACACACACAACGCTGCTGTTCTATTATATACTGCATGACCAAGACACTACCCACTTTATATTTGTAAATAGTCATACTTGACATAGCGCATTCATTATCTATTCTGTATATCATTCATGATCTATTCTGTATATCCTATTGTTCATGATCTATTCTGTATATCCTATTGTTCATGATATATTCTGTATATCCTATTGTTCATGATCTATTCTGTATATCCTATTGTTCATGATCTATTCTGTATATCCTATTGTAAACATATCAGGCTATTACTAGGCATACTACCTCTTCAATTATGTGTAATTTTTTATTTGACTTGACTCTTATTATTGTTATTAACTATTGTACTGCACTATGGAGGGAGCTAGCGCACAAGCATTTCGCTGCACCTTTTATACCTGCTGTAAACTGTGTACGTGACAAATGAAATTGGATTTGATTGAAAGGTTGTTCAAAAATCTATTTGGGATGCCCCATACTAAAGAAAAACACTGTTTAGGCCTATCCTCTGAATTTAGGGTGAGCATCCAATTGACATTTGGTTAGCCTCCAATTAGCATCCTCTCTCCGTCTCTCTCTCTCTCTCCCTTACTCTCTCTGTCTGTTTTCGTCTCTCTCTCTCTCTCTCCCCATCTCTCTCCCAAGGGAGGTCTTCACAGAGATTTTTCCAGTCATTATAGCTGCTGTGTAAATCCAGGTGTCTACTAAAATGTTCCATCCATTAATAGTGCCCAGGGACTGGCCATGGTATACAGATACAATGATTCTGTATATAAAACATTTTATTGTGGTTGACAAAAAAAAATAAAAGGGTACATTATTATTATTATTATTATTACATAAGTGATAGGTAATTCAGCATATCACTAAATGTGTTAAATGCTGCATACAATACAACAATCTCAGAAGAAACTAACAACTGTACCATTATTAATAAGTCTAAGTATATCTGATTCAGTAACAAGGTTTGCTAAAATGGAGATCACTTTACTTCCCAAGTCTCCTGTGTGACTGTGCCAGCAAACTGCACTTGTGTTCTGGCTTTCTGTCCCAAAGCTCTCTCTCCATGCCAACCCCTTTGTGATGTAAAGCTGCAAAAATACTGGACTCAAAAGATGCCCATTGATATATTGACATATTAAAAAGCAAACAGGAAATATTTTATTTCAATAGTGCTTTAATTAATGTTAGAAAACAGACTACGTGTAGGTTTTTGTCAGGAGTTTAAATACAAGTCTCTCTCGTGCCCTCTAGTGTTTTGAAAGTGATGTTACATTTTGAGTTGACATACAAAGTCAACAGAGTTGTGCAACACAAAGGCTTCATAATGAACGATAGCGCATAAAAAAAACAACGTTTATATTCATACGATAAGATCATGTAGCAATGTGGTTCAATCTTTTTTCTTCTTTGGTGGGTGCTTATATTTGTCCTACTACACACACACGTACAAGTGCATCATTTATACGCAGGAGTGAATTGGAAACGTGTATTTTTTGTTGTTGTTGCATATGGCCACTCTCCCTGAAACACTCCTTCATTAGACCCTCCAGTGAAAATAAGACATTGATTGTAAGTAGGCATACTGCATACTTAGCTATAGCAACATGCAATCACTCAGTATAAAGTAGTCTGGTTACATTTGGTCACCAATTGCAATATCTCAAAACATAATTCTATAATGTACTATGAGTTCTCAGGCTTTACCAATATAGAATGTAAAAAGTGACTTTTATAAGTTCTATAAAAACATTTTGAATAAGTAAAAAATTGATATTTAACAGGCACTTGGGAATTTGTTTGTTGGTGAATAGAAACGTGGGCACTTCATTTGAACACAAACAGATCTGGTCTAAAAACCTCAAAATATATAGTGTTTACATTCCATGTGTGAAATCAACATTCCTTTACAAATGTAGACCATGATTCACAAACCCCCATTTTGGCTTCTGTCCTCAGCTTATAATGGCATAACATAATAATGGTGTTTTCATAATTAATTTGAATGACGTCTTTACTAATCATAGACATCAGAAACCATAGTTGGGGGAATGAATCACGTCTACCTTATTTTCTTAAATGGCCTTTGGTATTGGTGGGAATATTCCCATAAGGGCCTGAAATAAAGCTTTTTTTGTCTTGGAGCAAAATGTTGAAAACGACAAACTACAGAAACCTTGACCTGGTTATGTAGTCACACCCAAAGTGATCATATAAAATAGATATGGATACATACAACCACAAACAAAAAGGTACACACGTAATCAACTGCCAAGAATGAGTAGATCATTTGAAATTCTTACGCTTAAAATTAGCAAGATATCTTTTCACAAACAAACAGAATAATCCCTAAATGAAGTAGAAACAGTATCCCTCTACATGTACAAGTTGTTACGATCCTGAAACTAGCCTCTGGCTTTATAGATATGAATGTAGAGAGGTGGGCCTTGTCCAGAAACAACCACTCTAGACCCTATGCCCTAGACACTGGAGTAGATGTTAAAGACTTGGATAGTTAATAGCTGCACTTGGTGATATTTCACCATATGCTTACACCTATCCAGTCTTCTCACAGAGATCGACAAGTTCCTAGGGGGGGGGGGTAGAGGCGGTTTCTGGACGGGACACTGCTTTTCAATGACTCTCCCTCAGCATAGGGGAGAGAACAGGCAAAAGGGTTGAAGGGAATAATGGAGCGAGTACTATAAAAACTGATCAGGTGTCAGCGAAAAAGGAGAAAGGACAGACATCGCAGTGTCATTGTCCATTAAAACATCCCAGACACACTGTTCAGTGTCACCCTCTCTCACCAACCAATCCCTTTCTCATTAGGACATTAAATAGTCAGCATCAACTTCTTAAAACGTCAGTTAGTAGCGACGTTAGGCGGTAGTAGCTTTTTTTGTTTATCATATTCGTCGTCCACCGCTGTAACCTTGTTGTTAACAGGAATGACTGACGCCCTCTGTCCCTGTGACCCAATCGATCCCTAGACCCTACACACTTGCAGAGATCAGAGTATATTTGATTGGTTTAAACAATAATGGTGAAACTTCCACCTAGCTAGCCTATCAGAGGGCAAGGTGAAGCTATTACCATATTACTTACACCTGTCAAATCTCAGATCTCCACAAGTGCATAGGGTGTAGGGGTCCAATTTGGGATTGTGCCAGAGATCCACAGACGGTCTACCACTGCTCCCAGCTGAAGTCGTCTCCCCCTCCGAACACCAGGAAGAAGCCCAGGATTGTGAGGAAGATGACAGCGTTGCCGGCCATCACCAGGCCACAGGCCCCCCACTGGATCTGTAAGAGTACAGGGCCATGTTCATTAGGCGCCAGACGGAATAAAACGGACTGAAACAGGGAGGGACTACCTGGACCTGTCCAATGAGAAATGCCCTTTTTTTTTTTTCTCAGCTGCTAAATATTTAAACGTTTTCTGTTGTGTGACGTTATGAACAAAACCTAGATAGAGCACAACCAGTGAATGTGTCTTATCAATTGGATTTATTAGATGTTAACTACAGCTCTGCTAACATGTAATAAATAGATGTTGTAACCACCTTCAGTTACCTTAGCTATTATTGGGTATCATCAAGACTACCATTCACAACTATATGTATTCTAGGGTCAGCTTTACTTACCCAAGTCATTATTACCATTACGAGCATCAACACTTAAACTGACCCTGAATCAGTTTATAAATGGCATAAAGCAACACATGACAGTCATTGACCATTGACAATATCAGGTAGGACTCACTAATGCAACCCGGGCCAGTATGATGGGAAGCCCGAACGCAGACACCACAATGCCCGTAGTGAAGAAGTATGCTAGCTCTCTGGATGCGTTGCTGGTGGCATCACTGTCATCACTGAGCCTTCTGGATATGAAGGTGGGGATCGGAGAGAGTACGTAGAAGATGAGGACGAATAGAGGCCAGTACACCCTGGGAAAACAATGAAAACAAAACCTCTTCAAATCAGTTATGCAGAACATAACACCCCTTTGCTGGTTTTGAATCTGGGTCACCCACCCCACATGCAAACACACTAACCACTGCTCCAATAGGTTTAACCACCTTGGAGAAAATCGTGACACACTGCATCAGAGTTAGCTACACCGCTGACTTACATGTGTGGTCCCATTTAACAAGAGTGTCTCACAGACTTCAGAGGTGAGGGGTAAATACGTACCCATACTGCTCCAGTGCACAGCCCAACAGGAGAAACGTCAAGCCAATAGCTCCACTGAAGGACAACCCAACCAGCGCTATAGGACGACAAAAAACAGAGATGGTGAGGCAGTTGTAGATCACTTTTAGAGGCAGGGTTCTTACAGGCTATCCAGCAAAGATGGATCCTACTCAGTAGTCTACTCACTCTAAGCAGCCAAATGTCCCATCCAAATAAATACTCAAATACAAAAATGGTAGCATGCAACTTATAACAGTGTATTATGCAACTAATAATAAGGTTCTGCCATCATGAATGTAAATAAAAGGACAAATGGAATGTACACAATTAAGTTACATTTTCTTAGGAAGTCTCTCAAGAGAGAGTTGGTTCACCGTTTTCAGTGTGGATTGCCTTCACTCCCCGTGATATACGATATACTTTATTGTCCACATGAATAGACAAATACATAGAATCAACTGAGAATAACACCCCATCATACACCACTTCCCACCCACACAAAAAGTGAATACGCTCACGTCAGGCAAGGCTGTGACTAGGTGGCGGCCACATGATGAAGGCCTACAGGCCAGGCTCCAATCTGTCATTGCCGTCTCCCTCATCTGTCTCCCCTGCTCTTACGCCTCGATCACGCCGACAGCGTCATTGCATTTTGGTACACCAGAACTACATTCATTTCCAATGAAACACTGCGTTTGATTTGCAGCATTGCGTTGCAGAGGCAGTTGCAGTGCGTTCTGTGTGGTGCATACGTTGGATTTATCGAAGGTATGCGTCAAACTGTATGCGTAGACGGCTTGACAGAAATGGTAGCAGAAGGTGAATGTTGAACTTTTGTTGCACACATTGCCTACTATTTTGCGCAATGACTGTGTGATCAAGTTGTTACGCCTAGATCAGACCTACAGTGGTGTGCGCAATAATGGTACGCAGCATCATCTGGATATGTGTGCAACAAATCTTCACCATTCACCTTCTGTTACCATTTCTGCCAACCCGTTTATGCATACAGTTTGACACATACCTTCGATAAATCCAACGTATGCACCACACAGAATGCACTGCAACGCAATGCTGCAAGGCAAACGCAGTGTTCCATTGGAAATTAATGTACTTCTGGTGTCCCAAAACTTAATGAAGCAGTTGGTGTGTACGAAGCGTAATGCTTTGAATACACCAACTGCGTCATTGTGCAAAAAATAGTATGCAGCATCATCTAGATATGTGTGCAACAAAACTTCACCATTCACCTTCTGCTACCATTTCTGCCAACCCGTTTATGCATACAGTTTGACACATACCTTCGATAAATCCAACATATGCACCACACAGAACGCAGCGCTGCAAGGCAAACGCAGCTTTCCATTGGAAAATAATGTACGTCTGGTGTACCAAAACGCAAGGACTCAGTCGGTGTGATCAAGGCGTAAGCCTGCATATATTGCGAACTCTCAAGTAGCCAAATAAATCGTACTTGAGTCTTCATTGTAGGGAAATACACAAGCACATTGTATCCTTTTATGTTATATTGCAATACTGGATAACAAACTAACATGTCAATGTAACAGTGCAAGCCACGGTCAACGTATCACAACAAGGCAAAAGTTATACGTGACACCATAACAAGGATTATGGCTAGAAGGGATACAGTTTTTGTCAAATTAACTTCAGATTTGACATTTTGTAGCAGGTTATGATAATGTACGCTGCAGGGTAGAATAATTAACGTAGCATGTTAGGAGAATTAGGCTAAGGTTAGGAAAATGGTTAGGGTTAGCTAAAATAAAAAATCTACTTTTGACGTTAATTTGACAAAAGCTAGATAACTTCTAGCCATGATACATAATAAGTGTTCGTAGCCTACGTGGAATGGATACAATGTTGCACTTAGCTTGCCAGTGTCGGGAGAAAACGTTTATGGAAACAAGAGAGTTTTGTAGCGCAAGTATCAATCAATTTACCTTTAATACCCGCCATTGTCTTATGTCTTAAATTGTCGTTTATCTTCTTTGTGCTTGGTTTTTCGTAAACGACTTCCTATTTCCTCCTTCGAACTTTTTATTTGCATCAGCTGACTTTCTTAAAGGAGCCATTTGCTCTCGCTATGTTTGGTCAACATTTCTATTTCTCTCTATTTCTACAGTATTTATATTTCACAATTGTATTAATGAACTCAGCTACGGAATATTCTTGACACCTACTGTGCAAAATATTCCTTGCTGTAAAATTGCTCTTGAATTGAAGTATTTCATCGTAACTAATTGAAATAGCCTAGTAGTCCTGGTCTGTAATCCAGTACACGGGTTAATTCTGTTTCCGCTAGATTTATTAACCAAATAACCAATAGACGACTAGATGAGCGTAGATTCTCGAAAGCATTTTCGGGAATTGACACAACGCTTGCCTGGAAGACACGCCGCCGAGATTTGCCAACTTCATTACGCAGAACTGAACACCCTTATCAATGATAAATGTTGAGAAAATCATTATAATATAGAATAATATAAGTACATTGATATTGAGTCACTCATGAAAGACAGGGTGGTTTTTCCAGAGATTCGTGGACGGCAATAAATAGGTGAGTTTCATTATGAGGTGTTTCATCATGGATTATTGGCACAGGTCAACTGTATACTGTAAAGGACTGTACGTTATTTATAATGACGGATACTTGGAGAAAATCGAACGTCTCTGAAATGAAAATGGATGGCCCTCCCTTCAGCAATATATATGTTTTATGTGACCCTCCCTGAACGCTTTAAAAAAAATAAGTGACCATCCACCATACCCAAAATAATAATGAATACCTAAAGTGGATAGCAGAGAACATGCCTACCGTCTACCCTCACTCTTAGGGCAGACCAGAGCCTTAGATATGCAGTTTTAGTAAGTGTTCTTCTTATAAGCATTACATGGCAACGTAGTCATTTTGATAGTGCACAAGGCTGCAGGCCAGAAGGTTGTGGGTTCGAAGACCACCGCTGACAAGGGTAGGGGAGACAAGATCTCTTTTATAATAAAAACATTGCATGAATCTATCATTTTATTTGTGGGTCCGAGAAAAAAAAAAGCCTTTTATAAATGAATTTAATGTAATTCTAAGTCATTTTACGTGACTGGAGACGAGCAGTTATTTATTTTTTATACTACAGTAGAGCATGTGAGCGGGGTGGACGAGGAGCCCTGCATGCATAATTTGGCTGAGCAGTAGCGCTCAGACACAAGTTCTGGGCATGCTCTACCCAGTGTATTTCGGTTTCTTTAACCAGGTTTCCATTCAACCTTTTTATGTGAGTAAAGTACATGTCGGATAAAAAAATGTCATGACAAGCCTGATGGAAACAGAACATTTTCCGGTAAACCTTCCGAATGTCGACGAAACAAAATACGCTAGACAAGGTAGGATCTTTTTGTGTCGGTAAAATGAATTATGCCAGAAATGTAGGTGGAAACGTTTTTTTATGCGCAAATATTGTTATAATAACCAACATATCGAAGTAAACTTGGAGTCACGCGTTGACATGTTGTGTGGTCCTCCCACTATGACTGGCCAGGAAAGCATTCCGTTTATTAGGTAGGCTGATGAACTTCAATAAATAAATAAATATCGGGGGTCTTATTCTGGTGACATGATAATCGATGCTTGGCTGCCTTTTGACAAATAAAAATAGGCTCGCTCTTTTGTCCATAATCATAATAATCTCAACATGTAGGCTATACGTGCACTCTAGCCAACAGCGCGCAGATAGCATGTTGGCTAGAGCGCACGTGCCAATACCAGAGTGGGCCCCTATATAACAACTTTTTTTTTGTGAGAAAACCATCAGTAGAGTTGAAAATGTGATTGAAACCCATTTAACTTGTATTTTTTATTCTGTACATGGGAATTTAACCGCAAAAGGTATTTACTACGTCATCACGCACAGCCTTTTATGTGCAACAAGTCAATTTGATGGAAACGTCTCTGGATGGAAAATGCACATATTGTTTTTATGCAGATTTGAGAATATTCGCATGAAAATCTGTCGCCAATTGGATGGAAACCTAGCTATTATCACTATTATTTTAATAAGGCATATTCTGTTGTGTTTAATAGACTACCCAAACACAAGTAATGTGCAAAAGTGTTGAGTCTACCAATAAATAGGTCATAGCTAGGTTTCCATCCAATTGGTGACACATTTTCATGCGAATATTCTACAATCCACATATATAAAATATGCGCATTTTCCCACCAGAGATGTGTTTCCATCAAATGTACTTGTTGCGGATAAAAGTATGTGTGTGATGACCCAGTGCACATACAAATAACTTTAGTGGTTACTTTCCCATGTACCGAAAAAAAGAAATTAGTTATATAGGTTTCCATCACATTTTCAACTCTACTGATGGTTTTGTCACAAAATGTTTTGCATTATATAGGGAATGTTCCCACTCTGGTGTTGGCAAGTGCACTATTGCCAACAGCTCGCGGGTATAGCCTACACATTGAGATGATTGTGGACAAAAGAGCGAGATTATTCGAATTTGTCAAATGGCAGCCAAGCATCAATCATCATGTCACCAGAATAAGACCCTCGATATTTATTGGAAAGGAGCATCAAGCTCATCACCGTGCACTTTCACCACCCTGTGAAGTTCATCATCATTTATTTCATCTGTAGCCTAATAAACTGCATGCTTTCCCGAGTCGTAGTGGGAGGACCACACAACATATCATCGCGTAACTACGAGTTTACTTCTATATGATGGTTATTATATCAATATTTGCGCATAAAAGTGTTTCCACCGCAGTGGCTTCACCAAATATATTAGACCAATAAAAAATACAAATAAAATTCGCAAGTGGCTCAATCTCACCTGAGAAATCATAACCCGAGTGAGGGAAACATCGCCCCTCTGTCTCAGTATGTGTTGCCCATGTATCTGAAGCTATCTGTAACAAAAGAGTATGACATGTTGCCACCTTAGCATTTGATTGATTAATGCCAGCAAGCATTTGGCCTCCCTTGATAAAAAAATAAATAGCCAATCAGCGTTGTGCTGAGCTCAACTGTGGGTTGTTCTGGTACAGCAAAATGCCTCTCAAGGGAGGCCAGTTTGGATTTGGCTTGACAATGCCCCCATGCACAAAGCAAGGTCCATACAGAAATGGTTTGTCGAGATCGGTATGGAAGAACTTGACTGGCCTGCACAGAGCCCTGACCTCAACCCCATCGAACACCTTTGGGATGAAATGGACCAACTCCATATTAATGCCCATGATTTTGGAATGAGAGAAGGTGTCCACATACTTTTGGTCGTGTAGTGTATTAAAGCCACATAGTAACCTACTATATCTTCATCCTCTCAACATTCACCTTATCTATTTTAGTGAAGCAGGGCAATGGAATTGGGCAGGCAACTGTTGGTAAAGATGAGGAAGAGGCGGAAGGGCGAGTTCACCTCAGTTCCTGTAATAGTGCAGGGCCTCGAGATCCACTTCTACCTGGAAGACTCTCACCAGCTGGAGTTTCTCCGGGGTTGTTACACTGCTGAGGAGCTGTGCACAGAGGCAGCCAAGAAGTGCGGTGAGTCTGAGTCACGTTAGTGTTGGCACATACACTGAGTGAACAGAACATTAGGAACACCTGCTCTTTACATGCCATAGACTGACCAGGTGAATTCAGGTGAAAGCTATGATCCCTTATTGATGTCACTTGTTAAATCCGCTGTTCTGAGGGCAACATTGGGGGTGCAACTCAATATTAGGAAGGTGTTCCTAATGTTTGGTATACTCAGTGTATGTCCCCCGTCTCTGTTCACTCTTTCTCTTTCTCTCTCTCTCTCTCGTTCTCTCTCTGTCTCTCTCACACACACACAAACGTGCGCACACACACACACACTCTTAGTTGGTGCCCCATCTCGGTTTGTTCTCCTCTGTTTGTATCCTTCATTTCTGAGCAGAACATTCAGCAGGATATTTTCACAGACCGTGTTCTCGAGAAATTCCAAGAGTCTTCCTTCTCCCCCCTGACTGATTTGAATGTTTGTCATGGATCATGAATATGACATTATGTCAAATAGCACCTGGCTGGTTCTTGTTGAGGGTTGAGGGAAATCATGTCTCTCTCTTTTTAGGCATTTCCCCTCTTTGCTTCAATTTGTTTGCCCTGTATGACGAGGTCAGGAAAACCTGGTTCCCTCCTAATCACACCTTCAATGAAAGCACCCGCTTAAAGCTCCACTATCGCATGAGGTAAGCATTAGGATATGTTACTCCTCAATTCTGTCACAAATATTGAAGGAACAAAACAGAGGGAACCATTTTAGGATGCAGCAGCTATTTGGTCTGCAAATTCAACAAACTTGTTGAGTTAAATTTTTTTTATTTCATACAAAACCTTCATACCGACAGTGAAATACCTTAAAGATAACCCTCATCTCTTTATCCAGGTTCTACTTCACCAACTGGCATGGTGCGAATGAAAGTGTGCCACGTGTTTGCAGACACGCCCTCGAGAGAAAGAACAGAAATGGGCCGAAGACCGAACCAGGGGGTAGTCCGCTCCTCGACGCTGCCTCACTGAAGTATCTGTTTGCCCAGGTATCCTTCCGCACTCAAATATATTGTCACACAATTTAGAACAGTTACAGTTGAAGTCGGAAGTTTACATACACTTAGGTTGGAGTCATTAAAACTCGTTTTTCAACCACTCCACAAATGTCTTGTTAACAAACTATAGTTTTGGCAAGTCGGTTAGGACATCTACTTTGTGCATGACACAAGTCATTTTTCCAACAATTGTTTACAGACAGATTATTTCACTTATAATTCACTGTATCACAATTCCAGTGGGTCAGAAGTTTACATACACTAAGTTGACTGTGCCTTTAAACAGCTTGGAAAATTCCAGAAAATGATATCATGGCGTTAGAAGCTTCTGATAGGCTAATTGACATCATTTGAGTCAATTGGAGGTGTACCTGTGGATGTATTTCAAGGCCTACCTTCAAACTCAGTGCCTCTTTGCTTGACATCATGGGAAAATCAAAAGAAATCAGCCAAGACCTCAGAAAAGAAATTGTAGACCTCCACAAGTCTGGTTCATCCTTGGGAGACATTTCCAAACGCCTGAAGGTACCACGTTCATCTGTACAAACAATAGTACGCAAGTATAAACACCATGGGCCCACACAGCCGTCATACCGCTCAGGAAGGAGACGCATTCTGTCTCCTAGAGATGAACGTACTTTGGTGCGAAAAGTGTAAATCAATCCCAGAACAACAGCAAAGGACCTTGTGAAGATGCTGAAGGAAACGGGTACAAAAGTATCTATATCCACATTAAAACAAGTCTTAATAATATGCCATTTAGCAGATGCTTTTATCCAAAGCGACTTACAGTAATGTGTGCATACATTTTTACGTATGGGTGGTCCCGGGGATCGAACCCACTACCCTGGCGTTACAAGCGCCGTGCTCTACCAATTGAGCTACAGAGGACTACAGGTCTTATATCGACATAACCTTAAAGGCCGCTCAGCAAGGAAGAAGCAATTGCTCCAAAACCGCCATAAAAAAGCCAGACTACGGTTTGCAACTGCACATGGGGACAAAGATCGTACTTTTTGGAGAAATGTCCTCTGGTCTGATGAAACAAAAATAGAATTGTTTGGCCATAATGACCATCATTATGTTTGGAGGAAAAAGGGGGTGCTTGCAAGCCGAAGAACACCATCCCAACCGTGAAGCACGGGGGTGGCAGTATCATGCTGTAGGGGTGCTTTGCTGCAGGAGGGACTGGTGCACTTCACAAAATAGATGGCATCATGAGGAAGGAAAATGATGTGGATATATTGAAGCAACATCTCAAGACATCAGTCAGGAAGTTAAAGCTTGGTCGCGAATGGGTCTTCCAAATGGACAATGACCCCAAGCATACTTCCAGAGTTGTGGCAAAATGGCTTAAGGACAACAAAGTCAAGGTATTGGAGTGGCCATCACAAAGCCCTGACCTCAATCCTATAGAAAATGTGTGGGCAGAATTGAAAGAGCAAGGAGGCCTACAAACCTGACTCAGTTACACCAGCTTTGTCAGGAGGAATGGGCCAAATTTCACCCAACTTATTGTGGGAAGCTTGTGGAAGGCTACCCGAAACGTTTGACCCAAGTTAAACAATTTAAAGGCAATGATACCAAATACTAATTGACTGTATGTAAACTTCTGACCCACTGGGAATGTGATGAAAGAAATAAAAGCTGAAAGAAATAATTATCTCTACTATTATTCTTACATTTCACATTCTTAAAATAAAGTGGTGATCCTAACTGACCTAAGACAGGGAATTTTTACTAGGATTAAATGTCAAGAATTGTGAAAAACTGAGTTTAAATGTATTTGGCTAAGGTGTATGTAAACTTCCGACTTCAACTGTACAGTCGTGGTCAAAAGTATTGGTCTTCACAAAGTTTGCTGCTTCAGTGTTTTTAAATATTTTTGTCAGATATTACTATGGTATACTGAAGTATAATTACAAGCATTCCATAAGTGTCAAAGGCTTTTATTTACAATTACATTAAGTTTATGCAAAGAGTCAATATTTTGCAGTGTTGACCCTTCTTTTTCAAGACCTCTGCAATCCACCTGGCATGCTGTCAATTAACTTCTCGGCCACATCCTGACTGATGGCAGCCCATTCTTGCATAAACAATGCTTGGAGTTTGTCAGAATTTATGGGTTTTTGTTTGTCGACCCGCCTCTTGAGGATTGACCACAAATTCTCAATGGAATTAAGGTCTGGGGAGTTTCCTGGCCATGGACACACAATTTCGATGTTTTGTTCCCCGAGCTACTTAGTTATCACTTTTGCCTTATGGCAAGGTGCTCCATCATGCTGGAAAAGGCATTGTTCATCACCAAACTGTTCTTGGATGGTTGGGAGAAGTTGCTCTCGGAGGATGTGTTGGTACCATTCTTTATTCATGGCTGTGTTCTTAGGCAAAATTGTGAGTGAGCCCACTCCCTTGGCTGAGAAGCAACCCCACACATGAATGGTCTCAGGATGCTTTACTGTTGCCATGACACAGGACTGATGGTAGCGCTCATCTTGTCTTCTCCGGACAAGCTTTTTTCCAGATGCCCCAAACAATCGGAAAGGGGATTCATCAGAGAAAATGACTTTACCCCAGTCCTCAGCAGTCCAATCCCTGTACCTTTTGCAGAATATCAGTCTGTCCCTGATGTTTTTCCTGGAGAAAAGTGGCTTCCTCGCTGCCCTTCTTGACACCAGGCCATCCTCCAAAAGTATTCGCCTCACTGTGCATGCAGATGCACTCACACCTGCCTGCTGCCATTCCTGAGCAAGCTCTGCACTGGTGGTGCCCTGATCCCACAGCTGAATCAACTTTAGGAGACGATCCTGGCACTTGCTGGACTTTCTTTGGCGCCCTGAAGCCTTCTTCACAACAATTGAACCTCTCTCCTTGAAGTTCTTGATGATCCGATAAATGGTTGATTTAGGTGCAATCTTACTAGCAGCAATATCCTTGCCTGTGAAGCCCTTTTTGTGCAAAGCAATGATGACGGCACGTGTTTCCTTGCAGGTAACCATGGTTAACAGAGGAAGAACAATGATTTCAAGCACCTAAAGCTTCCAGTCTGTTATTCTAACTCAGTCAGCATGACAGAGTGATCTCCAGCCTTGTCCTCGTCAACACTCTCACCTGTGTTAACGAGAGAATCACTGACATGATGTCAGCTGGTCCTTTTGTGGCAGGGCTGAAATGCAGTGGAAATGTTTTTTTGGGGATTAAGTTCATTTTCGTTGCAAAGAGGGACTTTGCAATTAATTGCAATTCATCTGATCACTCTTCATAACATTCTGGAGTATATGCAAATTGCCATCATAAGGCAGCAGACTTTGTGAAAATTAATATTTGTGTCATTCTGAAAACTTTTGATCACGACTGTATATACTCAAATGGAGAGCTCTAGCATACACAATCATATATCTTGAATCAGGTGTTTGTGCGTTTGATTTTCCCAGGGTCAGCATGACTTCTTGAAGGGGCAGGCCGCACTGCGTAGCCCTGAGAATGAAGAGGAGGTCCACTATATTGAGAATGAGTGCCTGGGGATGGCAGTGTTGTCTATAGCACACCATGCCCTGGACAACAACATCGTCATCCCCGGTGTAGCTGGTCAGATCAGGTAACAATCCCAGAGGCTCAAAATTAAACCGTTTATTACTGTCGGTTTACCATCTTTCTTAATACCCATCCATTTACGCTCATGCACACACACTCTCTCACACACACACACCCACACCACACACACACACACCACACACACACACACACACACACACCCACACCACACACACACACACACACACACACACACACCCACACCACACCCACACCACACACACACACACACACACACACACACACACACACACACACACACCACACACACACACACACACACACACACACACACACACACACACACACTCCCGACTCACACACGACTCTCCTTCCATCCCACCCAGCTATAAGAAATTTATCCCAGATAGCGTGAACCAAATCATCAAGCAGCGCAACGTCCTGACACGACTCCGTATCTCCCGGGTGTTCCAGAACTTCCTCAACGAGTTCAACAACAAGACAGTGCAGAGCAACAACGTCAACACCCACGACATCAAGGTCAAATACCTAGCTACGCTGGAAACGCTGACCTGTGGGTTCGGCTGTGAGGTGTGTAGCAAGACGAATGCTCCGTGTAATCGTGTTTGCAGTCACACTCTCAGAAAAAAAAGAATTGCACTGGGCCAAAGACCGAACCAGGTGGTACTCCGAAAAGTCGGTCTAAGGTCTGTGTAAAGAAGTTCCTGAAGCTAACAAAATGGTGTCCTGTCTCATTATCAATACAAGGAGCACGAGCCTAAAGAGCTCCGTGTGACGGACAGCGAAGGGGAGATCCAAGGAACACCAACTTCCTGTAACCAGGGTCAGCCCACCCAGTACCAAGTCGTTGTGTCTGGAAATACAGGGATCAAGTGGCGGAGGAAGCAACAGAATGTGACAGTAAGTTTATTATTTTGGCTTATAATGTGTCAATTATGGCACACCTTGTATCTGTCATTATTATCTGAATATCGTCTGATATTTTGTTTATCAAGAGATAAAAACATTTAATGTTCATCTATTTCTCAGAATGCATGGACTGCCAAAGAGAATAAAAAATACCCAAAGTACAAAACCAACATCAACGGGAAGAACAAACCAGCTCAAGGCGTTTCGAACGACTGGAAAACCTTCTCCGATTTCCATGAGATCACACACATCAACATCAAGGGCTCCACAGTGACTGTCCACAAGCAAGACAACACAAAGATGGTGGAGTTTCGTTGTTTGAAGTTTCAGGGGAAACTTATTTAGCAAAAATGTTTAATAATATCTGAATGAGCAATCTTGAATGAGGCTAAGTTCCATTGCTTTACATTACGTCTGTGTGTTCTTTTGTACCCATTTTTTTACATTGGACATTCACCTTCATTGTCGTTTGTTGTCACACCATTTCCACCATAGGAACTGAGCCTGGGTTTCCACGCAGAGGCGTTGTCTTTTGCCACCCTCATTGATGGATACTTCCGTCTGACTGTGGACGCACATCACTTCCTGTGTACAGATGTGGCCCCCCCCTCTGTGGTGCGGAACCTGCAGGAAGGCTGTCATGGTCCAATCAGGTGAGTTTAAGTATCCCCAATCAGTTGTCATTGGATAGAGAACATGTAAATATTAGTACAATACAAAAAATGTAGTAATACAGTCAATTTGTTTCGATTATACAGATATTTGTGTCAATGATACAATAATACTTCAATACTAGTGTAGAACTGAGTTGATCCACCCCTTTTGGCCCCTCCCCTTCCAGCATGGACTACACCTCCCACAAGCTGCGTCAGGAGGGCGAGGTGGAGGGAACGTACGTGCTGCGCTGGAGCTGCATCGACTATGACCACATCCTCCTGACTGTCACATGCAACGAGGTACAGTACCACAACCACCACCTGCCTCACCCACAGTCATGTAGACATGTATACAGACACTCTCCTTTTAAGACAGTCGTACATTTGAAAAATGTTTGTGAGGATTTATCTCTTTTGAAAACATGGCCGGGCTATCTTGTTAGCGACCCTATCTTGTTTGTCACCATTATTTGTCTGAACTGAATTGTGACAATTTGTGGCTGTATAAAGGCTGTGTGAATAAATTGACTGATTTATTGCACTCTAACCTCTTTCTCCTACTCTTGGCTCTCCTGTTGTAGGTGGACCTGACCGATAGACATCCGTACCGTAGCTTTAAGATCAAGGTAGGGCCGGAGGGCTACAGCCTGAACGGTACGGACCTGAGGCAGCCCTCCCTCAGGGAGCTGATTGAACAGCTGAGGGGCCAGACTCTCAGGACAGACAGAATCACCTTCCAGCTCCGCAAGGCCTGCCCTCCCCAGCCCAGAGGTACGGTATGATACCCTTCCCCAAAACTATCACCACGGCAACTAATTCCTTACCATACAGGCATTGGCACCTTATACACCAGGGGGCCTCATTTATAAACGTTGCGTACACACACAATTTGCCCCGAAACATGCATGCGCCAGTTTTCACGCAAAAGTTGGCTTTTATAAAAACTGAACTTGTAGCCTAGTAGCCTTGTAGCCTTGTAGCCTTGTAGCCTAGTAGCCTTGTAGCCTAGTAGCCTAGTAGCCTTGTAGCCTAGTATCCTAGTAGCCTTGTAGCCTAGTCGCCTAGTAGCCTTGTAGCCTAGTAGCCTAGTAGCCTTGTAGCCTAGTATCCTTGTAGCCTAGTAGCCTTGTAGCCTAGTAGCCTTGTCGACTAGTAGCCTAGTAGCCTAGTAGCCTTGTAGCCTTGTAGCCTTGTAGCCTTGTAGCCTAGTAGCCTTGTAGCCTAGTATCCTTGTAGCCTAGTAGCCTTGTAGCCTAGTAGCCTTGTCGACTAGTAGCCTAGTAGCCTAGTAGCCTTGTAGCCTAGTAGCCTTGTAGCCTAGTATCCTTGTAGCCTAGTATTCTTGTAGCCTAGTAGCCTTGTAGCCTAGTATCCTTGTAGCCTAGTAGCCTTGTAGCCTTGTAGCCTAGGAGCCTAGTAGCCTTGTAGCCTTGTAGCCTTGTAGTCTAGTAGCCTTGTAGCCTAGTAGCCTTGTAGCCTAGGAGCCTAGTAGCCTTGTAGCCTAGTAGCCTTGTAGCCTAGTATCCTTGTAGCCTAGTAGCCTTGTAGCCTTGTAGCCTAGGAGCCTAGTAGCCTAGTAGCCTTGTAGCCTAGTAGCCTTGTAGCCTAGTATCCTTGTAGCCTAGTAGCCTTGTAGCCTTGTAGCCTAGGAGCCTAGTAGCCTAGTAGCCTTGTAGCCTAGGAGCCTAGTAGCCTTGTAGCCTAGTAGCCTAGTAGCCTTGTAGCCTAGTAGCCTTGTATACTTGTAGCCTAGTAGCCTTGTAGCCTAATGGAGAATATAATGAAACTCTTTTCATAAAAAAACAGGTAGCTAAATATAATAACATGATGCAACCATTTGCTGTTAGTGACAAGAGCAAAAATCAATTTAGGCCTATTTTATCTTTGCACGCTAAAATAATTTGAAAATAGGCATATATTTCCTATTATTTATTTCATTTCCATGATCATTACAGAATAAATTCCTCACCTTTTCTGATTGTGATGGTTTCATAGGCTACTCGCGAAATAGCCTCCAGGCTTACAACAAGCTAGGATCTGATCCGAAGCGCAGTTTAACGGTAGAACAGACGTTTGTAGGCTACGTTTGAATACTGTAATGTTAATATTTAATTTATAAACATAATACATAATACACTACACTGAGTGTACAACAAATTAAGAACACCTGCTCTTTCCATGACGTAGACTGACCAGGTGAATCCAGGTGAAAGCTATGATACCTTACTGATGTCACCTTACTTCAGTCAGTGTAGATGAAGGGGAGGAGACGGGTTAAAGAAGGATTTTTAAACCTTGAGACAATTGAGACATGGATTGTGTATGTGTGCCATTCAGAGGGTGAATGGGCAAGACAAGAGATTTAAGTGCCTTTGAACAGGGTATGGTAGAAGGTGCCAGGTGCACCAATTTGAGGGTGTCAAGAACTGCAACGCTGCTGGGGTTTTCCACGCTCAACAGTTTGTATCAAGAATGGTCCACCACCCAAAGGACATCCAGCCAACTTGACACAATTGTGGAAAGCATTGGAGTTCAAATGGACCAGCATCCCTGTGGAATGCTTTCAACACCTTATAGTCCATGCCCCGATGAATTGAGAATGTTCTGAGGGCAAAACGTGTGCAACTCAATATTAGGAAGGTGTTCCTAATGTTTTGTGCACTCTGTGTATATCATAACCATTGCAGAATAAATTCCTCACGAATTCCTATGATGAGTTCATATTCCCGAAGTAATCATACAACAAATTGCCATGCGCATCTCTCATTTAATTGGGCCAAGACTATTATAATTTCACGTTTTTGCTCTATGCGTCCGACAGGGAGTGTAGTTTATAACATACAGTAGAATTTAACAGGTGAACAGACAGTTGATCTTTTGCATTGAAGTGTGTAGGCTACCACTGTAAGTAGGCCTACTGTAGTTTTCATCAGAGTAGATAATGTTTCAGAATTCACGGGCAGTGCAGCATATTTAGATTCCGGAAAAAGTGAATGCAAAAAACATTATTGCGTTCAAACGATCAGTTTACAGGTCCACAACAATTTGCAATTGTTTTTGTCTTTCAGAAACGGTCAGATACAGCAAATGAATTTCAACCACAAAGACCAGGGAGGTTTTCAATGCCTCGCAAAGAAGGGCACCGATTGGTAGATATGTAAAAATAGAAAAGCATGGTGAAGTTATTAATTAGGCTTTGGATGGTGTATCAATACACCCAGTCACTACAAAGATACAGGCGTCCTTCCTAACTCAGTTGCCGAAGAGGAAGGAAGCTGCTCAGGGATTTCACCATGAGGCCAATGGTGATTTTGAAACCGTTATAGAGTTTAATGGTTGTGGTATGAGTACTGAGGCTAGATCAACAACATTGTAGTTACGCCACAATACTACCCAAAATGACAGAGTAAAAGAAGGAAGCCTGTACAGAATACAAATATTTGAAAACATGCATCCTGTTTGCAACAAGGCACTTAATTAATACTGAAAAACATGTGGGAAAGAAATTAACTTTTTGTCCTGAATACAAAGCGTTATGTTTGGGGCAAATCCAACACAACACATCACTGAGTACCGCTCTTCATATTTTAAAACTTGTTGTTGGCTGCATCATGTTATGGGTATGTCAAATCAAATCAAATCACATTGTATTTGTCACATGTGCCGAATACAACAGGTGTAGTCCTTACAGTGAAATGCTTACTTACAAGCCCTTAACCAACAATGCAATTTTAAGAAAGAATAAAAAAAAAAAAAAAATGAAATAACCAAATAATAAGAAATAAAAGTAACAAATAATTAAATAGCAGCAGTAAAATAACAGTAGCGAGGCTATATACAGGGGGTACTGTTACTGAGTCAATGTGCGGGGGCACAGGTTAGTCGAGGTAATTGAGGTAATATATACATGTCGGTAGAGTTATTAAAGTGACTATGCATAGATAATAAACAGAGAGTAGCAGCAGCGTAAAAGAGGGGGGGCAATGCAAATAGTCTGGGTAGCCATTTGATTAGCTGTTCAGGGGTCTTATGGCTTGGGGTTAGAAGCTGTTTAGAAGCCTCTTGGACCTAGACTTGGCGCTCTGGTACCTCTTGCCGTGCGGTAGCAGAGAGAACAGTGTATGACTAGGGTGGCTGGAGTCTTTGACAATTTTTAGGGCCTTCCTCTGACACCGCCTGGTATAGAGGTCCTGGATGGCAGGAAGCTTGGCCCCAGTGATGTACTGGGCCGTACGCACTACCCTCTGTAGTGCCTTGCGGTCGGAGGCCGAGCAGTTTCCATACAATGCAGTGATGCAACCAGTCAGGATGCTCTCGATGGTGCAGCTGTAGAACCTTTTGAGGATCTGAGGACCCATGCCAAATCTTTTCAGTCTCCTTAGGGGGAATAGGTTTTGTCGTGCCCTCTTCGCGACTGTCTTGGTGTGCTTGGACCATGTTAGTTTGTTGGTGATGTGGACACCAAGGAACTTGAAGCTCTCAACCTGCTCCACTACAGCCCTGTCGATGAGAATGGGGGCGTGTTCGGTCCTCTTCTTTTTCCCGTAGTCCACAATCATCTCCTTTGTCTTGATCACGTTGAGGGAGAGGTTGTTGTCCTGGCACCACACGGCCAGGTCTCTGACCTCCTCCCTATAGGCTGTCTTGTCGTTGTCGGTGAACAGGCCTACCACTGTTGTGTCATCGGCAAACTTTATGATGGTGTTGGAGTCGTGCCTGGCCATGCAGTCATGAGTGAACAGGGAGTACAGGAGGGGACTGAGCACGAACCCCTGAGGGGCCCCTGTGTTGAGGATCAGCGTGGTGGATGTGTTGTTACCTAACCTTACCACCTGGGGGTGGCCCGTCAGGAAGTCCAGGATACAGTTGCAGAGGGAGGTGTTTAGTCCCAGGGTCCTTAGCTTAGTGATGAGCTTTGAGGGCACTATGGTGTTGAACGCTGAGCTGTAGTCAATGAATAGCATTCTCACATAGGTGTTCCTTTTGTCCAGATGTGAAAGGGCAGTATGGAGCGCAATAGAGATTGCATCATCTGTGGATCTGTTGGGGCGGTATGCAAATTGGAGTGGGTCTAGGGTTTCTGGGATAATGGTGTAGATGTGAGCCATGACCAGCCTTTCAAATAAATTCATGGCTACAGACATGAGTGTTACGGGTCGGTAGTCATTTAGGCAGGTTACCTTAGTGTTCTTGGGCACAGGAACTATGGTGGTCTGCTTGAAACAATATTACAGACTCCGACAGGGAGAGGTTGAAAATGTCAGTGAAGACACTTGCCAGTTGGTCAGCGCATGCTCGGAGTACACGTCCTGGTAATCCGTCTGGCCCTGCGGCCTTGTGAATGTTGACCTGTTTAAAGGTCTTACTCACATCGGCTACGGAGAGCGTGATCACACAGTCATCCGGAACAGCTGATGCTCTTAATACATGTTTCAGTGTTACTTAACTCGAAGCGAGCATAGAAGTAATTTAGCTCGTCTGGTAGGCTCGTGTCACTGGGCAGCTCGTGGCTGTGCTTCCCTTTGTAGTCTGTAATAGTGTGCAAGCCCTGCCACATCCGACGAGCGTCGGAGCCAGTGTAGTACGATTCGATCTTAGTCCTGTATTGACGCCTTGCCTGTTTGATGGTTCGTTGGAGGGCGTAGCTGGATTTCTTATAAGCTTCCGGGTTAGAGTCCTGCTCCTTGAAAGCGGCAGCTCTACCCTTTAGCTCAGTGCGGATGTTGCCTGTAATCCATGGCTTCTGGTTGGGGTATGTACGTACAGTCACTGTGGGGACGACGTCATCGATGCACTTATTGATGAAGCCAGTGACTGATGTGGTGTATTCGTCAATGGCAAGGACTAGTGAGCTTTTTAGGATAAAAAGAAACGGAATACAGCTATAAGCACAGGCAACGTCTTAGAGGACAACCTGGTTCAGTCTGCTTTCCACCAGACACTGGGAGACAAATACACCTTACAGCAGGACAATAACCTAAACCACAAGGCCAAATATACACTGGAGTTCCTTACCAAGACGACATGGAATGTACCTGAGTGGCCTAGTTACAGTTTTGACTTAAAACGGCTTGAAAATCTATGGCAAGACTTGAAAATGGTTGTCTAGCAATGATCAACAATCAACTTGACAGAGCTTGAAGGATTTTAAAAAGGATAATGGGCAAATATTGTACAATCCAGGTGTGAAAAGCTATTAGAGACTTACCCAAAAAGACTCACAGCTGTAATCACCACCAATGCTGCTTATACAAAGTATTGACTTAGGGGTGTGAATACTTGTGTAAATGAGATATTTCTGTATTTCATTTTCAATAAAGTTGCAAAAATGTCTAAAAACATGTTTTCACTTATCATTATGGGGTATTGTGTGTAGATGGGTAAGAAAAAAATATATTTATTGCCATTTTGAATTCAGGCTGTAACACAACAAAATGTGGAATAAGTCAAGGGGTATGAATACTTTCTGAAGGCACTGTATGACGAGTGGCAAGTTTATAAAACTTAATATTTTTCAGAAGTGGTGCGCGCAGATATTTAGTGTTAAATTTACACAACGGTTATAAATGAGGCCCCTGACCTGGACGAGTTCTTGTGTTGTGTTATACCTATATCAAACAGGAAATGTTGCTCAGTAACAGTGGTTTTCTCTGTCCCTCTAAAGTGAGAAGAGGTGACGTGTTTGGTGTGCGTGTTTTGTTTCCTATTTCAGTTTCCTATTTCAGTTTCCTATTTCAGCTTTCAGGTTTTTCATTATTATTTTATATATTTTTTAGAAATCTCTAACCTTCTGCTTGTGACAAAGAGAGAGGCGGAGCCGACACACCCCATACAGAGTCAACTCATCTTCCACAGGATCCTCAAAGAGGACATATTGCAGGTGTGTGTGTGTGTGTGTGTGTGTGTGTGTGTGTGTGTGTGTGTGTGTGTGTGTGTGTGTGTGTGTGCGTGCGTGCGTGCTTATATGCGTGTGTATGTATGTATGTGCACGTGTGTTTGCATGCTAGGCTTCACTATGTGTGTGTACGGTATGTTCGTGTGTACGGTATGTTCGTGTGTACGGTATGTTCGTGTGTACGGTATGTTCGTGTGTACGGTATGTTCGTGTGCGCAGGATGCCCTACACTGGCAATACTGCCTTTTCATTCATTTGTTCGACATCTACAGATATGCTTTTCTGTCCATAACCAAGTCTGTGTCTATCTAGGAGGAGCACTTGGGCTGTGGCACCAGAACTAACATCTATGCTGGGAAATTGAAGATAAAGAGTGAGGAAGAGACGGATGTGTGGGGTTCCCAAACCCACCACCAGGTCAAAGTGGTCCTGAAAGTGCTAGGGTCCCAACACAGGGACATCTCTATGGTGAGAACACACACGAGCACACCCACACACGTTCTGTATAAATATAAGGGGCTTTATTAATACGTTTGATTGACATACACACAGTGGTGTAAAGTACTTAAGTAGTTTTTTGGGGTATTTGTACTTTACTATTTCCAGTTGAAGTCGGAAGTTTACATACACTTAGGTTGGAGTCATTAAAACTCGTTTTTCAACCACTCCACAACTTCTTGTTCACAAACTGTAGTTTTGGCAAGTCGGTTAGGACATGTACTTTGTTCATGACACAAGTAATTTTTCCAACAATTGTTTACAGACAGATTATTTCACTTATAATTCACTGTATCACAATTCCAGTGGGTCAGAAGTTTACATACACTAAGTTGACTGTGCCTTTAAACAGCTTGGAAAATTCCAGAAAATGATGTCATGGCTTTAGAACAGGGGTGTCCAACTCATTTTAGCTCAGGGGCCACATGGAGGAAAATCTATTCCCAAGTGGGCCGGACCGGAAAAATCATGGTATATATAACTTAAAAACAACAACTTCAGATTGTTTTCTTTGTTTTAATACGATCAACATACAACATAAAGCTGGAGCCTGAGGACAGTGTGTCCAAAATAGTACAAGCACAACATCACTATTAATCATAAAACACGTCAAGTTTATTTGAAAATTCTAAAGAAAAAGAACACACAAACACACAATGCCTCAGTGATTAACAGAACTGTTTCACAGATCACAGAACTATATCAGGGTGTCATTTCTCAGGCAGAAATGTAGATAAAAATAATGAAATCCTGTTCCCCAAACAAGTGCAAGAACCACAGAGTCAAGAATAGGTTAAATATACAAATAAAATAAAATCAATTAAAAACAATAGCACATCAACATAAAAACATATAAACATAAAGCTGGAGCCTGAGGACAGTGTCCAAAAGCACAACATCACTATTAATCATAAAACACCTCAAGTTATTTGAAAGTTCTGAGGACAAAGAACACACAAACACACAATGCCTCAGTGATTCACAGAAGTATATCACAGATCACAGAACTATATCAGGGTGTCATTTCTCAGGCAGAAATGTAGATAAAAATAATGAAATCCTGTTCCCCAAACAAGTGCAAGAACCACAGAGTCAAGAATAGGTTAAATATACAAATAAAATAAAATCAATTAAAAACAATAGCACATCAACATAAAAACATATAAACATAAAGCTGGAGCCTGAGGACAGTGTCCAAAAGCACAACATCACTATTAATCATAAAACACCTAAAGTTATTTGAAAGTTCTGAGGACAAAGAACACACAAACACACAATGCCTCAGTGATTCACAGAAGTATATCACAGATCACAGAACTATATCAGGGTGTCATTTCTCAGGCAGAAATGTAGATAAAAATAATGAAATCCTGTTCCCCAAACAAGTGCAAGAACCACAGAGTCAAGAATAGGTTAAATATACAAATAAAATAAAATCAATTAAAAACAATAGCACATCAACATAAAAACATATAAACATAAATCTGAAAGCGTTGCTCAAACTCCCGTAACAGTCCCGTTATTTTATCTTTGAACCGCTTCATGTCTGCCACATGTTGGGTCGCGCACACATTTTTCAGACAGGGGAAGTGAGCTGCATCACCACCGGCAAGTTGCGTCTCCCACAATGACAGCTTCAACTTGAAAGAACGTATGCTGTCATAATACTGCGTGACAACTTTGTTGCGCCCTTGCAGCTGTTTGTTCAAGTTATTCAGGTGCTCAGTAACATCCACCATAAATGCAAGGTCCGGCATCCATTCTGCGTAATGAAATTCTAACACTGGTTTGCCCTTTTCTTCCATGAACTGTTCAATTTCTTCTCGTAAATCAAAGAAACGCCTCAGCACAGCACCTCGGCTTAACCATCTTACCTCAGTGTGGTATGGCAGGCCATAGATGTGGTCTTTCTCTCTGAGAAGGCTGTCAAACTGACGGTGATTCAGGCTTCTAAATCGGATGAAATTAACAGTTTGGATGACCACCTTCATGACGTTATCCATCTTTAATGACTTGCAACACAAAGCCTCCTGGTGCAAAATACAGTGAAAAGTCAAAAAATCACGTCCTCCATTTGCAGATTGCACTTTCTCTCTGAACTTTGTCACAACGCCTGCTTTTTTTCCCGATCATTGAGGGCGCACCATCTGTAGCCAGGCTGACAGCGCGGGACCAGTCCACTCCGACCCTGTCCAGTGCGCCGACGAGTGCGGTAAAAATATCAGCTGCTGTCGTTGTATCTGTCATCGGCACCAACTCCACAAACTCCTCGGTGACGGTCAATGTGTCATCAACTCCGCGGATGAAAAAATGGCCAGTTGTGCAACATCTGTAATGTCCGTGCTTTCATCAATTGCAACCGAAAACGCAATAAATGACTTTACTTTTTGCTTCAACTGGCTGTCCAAATCCACTGAAAGATCGGAAATCCTGTCTGCAACTGTGTTTCTTGTCAGGCTGATATTTGCAAAAGCCTGCCGCTTTTCAGGGCACACAATCTCCGCTGCCTTCATCATGCATGTTTTTACAAATTCACCCTCACTAAATGGTTTTGAAGCCACTGCGATTTCATTAGCAATGAGGTAGCTAGCTTTCACTGCAGCGTCACTGATGTCTCGGCTGTGAGTAAACACAGACTGCTGTTTCTTCAGACCCGCCAACAGTTCATTCACCTTCTCTCATCTCCGCTGTCCTTGAAAGTTGTCATATTTGTCGGCATGAAGACTCACATAGTGGCGACGAAGGTTATATTCTTTCAGCACTGCAACATGCTCTGAACACACCAAACATACAGCTTTCCCATTCAATTCCGTGATTAAATAGGATGACAATTTTTCTTGGAACACTCTGCACTCTGCGTCCACTTTTCTCTTTTTTGACAGAGACATATTGGGGCAATGAGGGTGCCAAAGCACATAATGTTAAAAGTAGAAGCCGTAATAAATATCGCGGGCAAAACAAAGTAGCTCATTGGCTGCACGTGCTTGACCTACTTGCTCTGCCCCGGTATAAACAGTTTGCTTGCTTAACACAATTGCTATTGCGCCATCCAGTGGACGCAATTGGAACAGCAGTTTATTTTATTGAAAAATTGCAGCGCATTTTTATACTTTACAAAAATATTATTATTATTATTATATATATATATTTTTTTTAATCATCTCGCGGGCCGGATTAAACCCGTTTGCGGGCCTGATCCGGCCCGCGGGCCGTACGTTTGACACCCCTGCTTTAGAAGCTTCTGATAGGCTAATTGACATCATTTGAGTCAATTGGAGGTGTACCTGTGGATGTATTTCAAGGCCTACCTTCAAACACAGTGCCTCTTTACTTGACATCATGGGAAAATCAAAAGAAATCAGCCAAGAATTGTAGACCTCCACAAGTCTGGTTCATCCTTGGGAGCAATTTCCAAACGCCTGAAGGTACCACGTTCACCTGTGCAAACAATAGTATGCAAGTATAAACACCATGGGACCACGCAGCCGTCATAACGCTCAGGAAGGAGACGTGTTCTGTCTCCTAGAGATTAACGTACTTTGGTGCGAAAAGTGCAAATCAATCCCAGAACAACAGCAAAGGACCTTGTGAAGATGCTGGAGGAAACCGGTACAAAAGTATCTATATCCACAGTAAAACAAGTCCTATATCGACATAACCTGAAAGGCCGCTCAGCAAGGAAGAAGCCACTGCTCCAAAACCGCCATAAAAAAGCCAGACTACGGTTTGCAGCTGCACATGGGGAGAAAGATTGTACCTTTTGGAGAAATGTCCTCTGGTCTGAAGAAACAAAAATAGAACTGTTTGGCCATAATGACCATCGTTATGTTTGGAGGAAAAAGGGGGTCCCTTGCAAGCCGAAGAACACCATCCCAAACGTGAAGCACGGGGGTGGCAGCATTATGCTGTGGGGGTGCTTTGCTGCAGGAGGGTCTGGTGCACTTCACAAAATAGATGGCATCATGAGGAAGGAAAATTATGTGGATATATTGAAGCAACATCTCAAGACATCAGTCAGGAAGTTAAAGCTTGGTCGCAAATGTGTCTTCCAAATGGACAATGACCCCAAGCATACTTCCAAAGTTGTGGCAAAATGGCTTAAGGACAACAAAGTCAAGGTATTGGAGTGGCCATCACAAAGCCCTGACCTCAATCCTATAGAAAATGTGTGGGCAGAACTGAATAAGCGTGTGTGAGCAAGGAGGCCTACAAACCTGACTCAGTTACACCAGCTCTGTCAGGAGGAATGGGCCAAAATTCACCCAACTTATTGTGGGAAGCTTGTGGAAGGCTACCCGAAATGTTTGACCCAAGTTAAACAATTTAAAGGCAATGCTACCAAATACTAATTGAGTGTATGTAAACTTCTGACCCACTGGGAATGTGATGAAATAAATAAAAGCTGAAATAAATCATTCTCTCTACAATTATTCTGACATTTCACATTCTTAAAATAAAGTAGGGATCCTAACTGACCTAAGACAGGGAATGTTTACTAGGATTAAATGTCAGGAATTGTGAAAAACTGAGTTTAAATGTATTTGGCTAAGGTGTATGTAAACTTCCGACTTCAACTGTATATTTTTAACAAATTTTACTTTCACTACCTTCCTAAAGAAAGAATCTCTTTTTACTCCCATACATTTTCTCTGACACCCAAAAGTACTCGTTACATTTAGAATGCTTAGGCAGGACAGCAGTATGGTCCAATTCACGCACATATCAATATAACGCGTTGTCATCCCTACTGCCTCTGATCTGGCGGACTCACTAAACACAAATACTGAGTTTGTAAGTGTCTGAGTGTTGGAGTGTGCCCCTGTCTGTCCGAAAAGAAAAAGAAAAAAAGAAAATTGTGCCATCTGGTTGGCTTAATATAAGGAATTTAATGTATAGCATTTACTTTAACTTTTACTCAAGTAGGACAGTTGAGAACTTTTTCCACCACTGTACTTGAGTACATTTAAAACCAGACACTTTTAGACTTTTACTCAAGTAGTATTTTACTAGCAACGGTCATCAAAATTGTTTAAACAAAAGTTTTAAAAGATCATTCAATCATCAATGGATGAAGATACTCTAAACATGTATCATTTTTTAAAAATCCAACAGATATTGATTGAATTATAGGACATAAAACATTTTACTGGCATGGACAAATAATGAATGGAGTTCAGGGAATTTGGTGGGAATTCAGGTATTCAATTTATTGTAAAATTTCACTTAAATTTTCTTGGAATGCACTCATATATATATATACTCTTTCTAATGGTATCAAGTATTTTGTAAATATTTTGTGTTAAGATAAAGAAAATGTTATGTGCAGCATTTGCATAAATACACTGGGTCTATTTGCATATATGAATTATTAACATAAAGGGGTGGAACAGGGCTGCAACCACCAAAAACGTACTCTGTCTAGGTCTATCTGTACTCACCCGCGGTGTCTAGACTGCCTCATGAATTACTGTTGTTGTCACGTTTTGTTGCATAATTCAAAAAGTGTGTCAATAGCAGGATAACCTCGTATTAAAAATCAACAGGCTTGGCTCTAGATTACATTTAAGTAATAAGGCCCGAGGGGGTGTGGTGTATATGGCCAATATACCACGGCTAAGGGCTGTTCTTATGCACAATGCAACGCGGAGTGTCTGGATACAGCCCTTAGCCGTGGTATATTGGCCATATATCACAAACCCCTGAGATGCCTTATTGCTATTATAAACTGGTTACCAACACAATTAGAGCAGTAAAAATAAATGTTTTGTCATACCCATGGTATACGGTCTGATATACCACGGCTTTCAGCCAATCAGCATTCTGGGGTCGAACCACCCTCTTGCCTCTAGCTGATATAAGGTGTAATCATTAGTCCAACAGTTGCAAACAAAAGTTACTATTGGACAAATTCAGGTATGTTTATCCCCGTTTTGTTCTGTTTGTTTCCATTGAAGAAATGCTTTTCAACAGAATCGTCGGAATGAATACACCCCTGATCATGCGTAAACACAGTTTACTTTCATAGTAGCCACGTTGTATTCCTTCTCGCATCTATGCGCTCTCCTTCAACTTTTCCCTTCGCTTATGGACTTCAATGCACAACACATCAGCTGTATGTGACCAGGCGAAAAAACCCTTCCAAGCCAAACCATATCATAACCGCTACACACAGCCTACATCGTTGTCCCTATATTAGCTAAAATAACGTCATAGTTTATTTATAATTTATTTTACCTTTATTTAACTAGGCAAGTCAGTTAAGAAAAAAATCTTATTTACAATGAAGGCCTACACCGGCCAAACCCGGACGACGCTGGGCCAATTGTGCGCCGCCCTATGGGACTCCCAATCATGGCCGGTTGTGATACAGCCTGGAATCGAACCAGTGGGTCTGTAGTGACGCCTCAAGCACTAAGATGCAGTGCCTTAGACCAATGCGCCACTCGGGAGCCCAGTCAACATGGCTAATAGAACTAACACGTTAGTAAACCCGCCACAATCACGCAGTAATGTTACATTGTATAGTCAGTAAGCAGTTAGACCGGCGGGCCCCGGTGGCAATAAATTTCTAAAACCAAAAGCTTACCTTGACTTGGAAGAGTTCCAGTGTTGTGTTGGATAGTCATAGCCAGCTAGCTAACATAGCATCCCTCTGTTTGAGCATGGTGTTTGAGTAGGCTTAACTAGATACCTGCATTTGCTAGCTGTGTCTCTCTCGCTTGTCCTGTTCAACTATTGTCTTTCTCTCTTTGTGAGTCAGCTACTCACCACATTTTATGCACTGCAGTGCTAGCTAGCTGTAGCTTATGCTTTCAGTACTAGATTCATTCTCTGATCCTTTGATTGGGTGGACAACATGTCAGTTCATGCTGCAAGAGCTCTGATAGGATGGAGGACGTCGTCCAGAAGTTGTCATAATTACTGTATTGAAGTCAATGTACCCAGAGGAGGACGGAAGATAGCTGTCCTCCAGCTACACCATGGTGCTATTATTTGGTGACGTGATTATATTTAGTATTGTTTTATCTAAAAAGGATAACTTTTTTAATGTTTAAAAATATATATTTTTATGAAATTCACTGAGCAAGAGTATGAAAGAGTAAAATGAAAGAAATCAATCCAGCGAGGGCCCACCCCTCAACCACAGGAAATAGATGGCTGAAAAAGATAGAGGGCGGGCCATGCGCATTGCTAATTTTACTGGGTGACTTTCACTTTTACTTGAGTGATTTTCTATTAAGGTATCTTTTACTTACTCAAGTATGACAATTTAGTACTTTTTCAACCACTGCACACACACACAATTCCTCCCTCCATTACCCCTGTCTGACCTTGTGATTGCTTTCTTTGACCTTTTGACTCTGATGTTTAACACTGACCTCTTTCCGTTAGGCTTTCTTTGAGACGGTCAGTATGATGCGTCAGGTGTCCCACCAACACATTGCTCTGCTGCATGGCGTCTGTGTTCGCAACCAGGACAGTAAGTCAACGTCCACCCTTCCTCTTATCTTCGTTCTTAAACTGAGACTCAGCGACATGCCACAAGCCGCAGGACGAACCTAAGTTATTGTAGATGATTGTGATGTAAGACTATGTACTCCCACAGAGTATCTGCTAGAACGTGATAACTGCAACATAACAACTAGGGAGAAGTTTAGCCTCGCGCTCTTGGATGTTGAGGAAGTTGTCCCGATACTGCTGTTTGCTTTGTGCTTCGCTGAAGTCCTAGACGTAACGACATAGTGTCTGCATTTGCAATATGGCCGTATGTTGTGGAAAATACTTAATATCTCTGACATAAAAAAATAAAAAAAATAATGCAATTTGCTAGTACTTTTTCATCTGAAAATGGGCTAGACTTTTTTTGGGACCTCTAACTGTGTGTGGTCCCTGTTCAGATATCATTGTGGAGGAGCATGTGAAGCTGGGTCCTCTGGATGTATTCATGCAGGGGCGTCGTCTTCAACTCAGCACCTCCTGGAAGTTCCAGGTGGCCAAACAACTGACCAGAGCCCTCAGCTACCTGGTGAGAAAGGAAGAGGCGCGAGACACAATCAATGATTCACACTATAGGGCCAAGCCTAGCTGTACTGGGATGGCCTGGTTACGCATCCACCATAGTTAATGGAACTGTGCTGGAAAGGACAATGTGCAAGGAAAATATCAGAGACAGTCCTGTATGGTTCAGGTTGGCCCTACAGTATAAAACAGGCATAAACATTTGCCATGGTAATAACATTACATTCTGTATTCTTACCAGAATGAAAGCGTCTTTGGAACTTGGTGCCAACCTGGAGGACACAAGTAGTTTGTTCAAACTTGTACAGATGCAGTCAAATATATTGGCACCCTTGCACTTTACAATGGAGTGCAATGGAGAATAATGTTCCGTTTTTTTCTTTTCAAAACTGGTTGAATGGCTATTTTTACCACGTAGGCACCTGCAATTTACCACAGGCAAAATAAGTTATACATTAAACAAGAATCATTGCTTCCAAAAATTAATTCGAATTTGGAATAATTTAGTCCAGGCCATTTTTTACGTTGAAGTGAAAGATCTTAATTTAAGTTAGAATTAGTTTTCCTTCTTGGTCCTGTGCAGTTGTCAATCAAACATGTGTAAACAAAACAAAAAATAAATCTCAACTTATTTTAAAAGAAATCATGCAAGGGTGGCTATATATTTGACCGTATCTGTATACGTCAGTGGAGGCTACTGAGGGGAGGACGGCTTATAATAATAGCTGGAACGGAGTGAATGGAATTGCATCAAACACATGGAAACCATGGAAACCATGTGTTTGATGTATTTGGTACTATTCCACTTATTCCGCCGCTCCAGCCATTATCACAAGCCCATCCTCCCCAATTAATGTGCCACAAAACTCCTGTGTTATAGGTCTATATGACTGTGGACATGACCCTTCCCTGTGTTTCTCTCTCAGGAGGATAAGAAGCTGGTCCATGGTTATGTGTCTGCTAAGAACATCCTAGTGGAGCGGGATGGCCTGGAGGGAGAGGCTGGGCCCTTCATCAAACTCAGTGGCCCTGGGGTCCCCATCTCCGCACTCAACAGACAAGGTGTGTCTGTGTGTGTGTGTGTGTGTGTGTGTGTGTGTGTGTGTGTGTGTGTGTGTGTGTGTGTGTGTCTATCTGTTTTTTTTCTCTAGCTGATGAGGCTGTGTTGTATTACAGAGTGTGTGGAGAGGATCCCGTGGATCGCCCCAGAGTGTGTGGAGAGGATCCCGTGGATCGCCCCAGAGTGTGTGGAGAGGATCCCGTGGATCGCCCCAGAGTGTGTGGAGAACAGCCAGGCCCTGAGTGTTGCGGTGGATAAGTGGGGTTTCGGCACCACGCTGTGGGAGATCTGTTACGAGGGAGAGGCTCCTCTCAAAGACAGGACACTCATAGAGGTACACCCATACTTCCCCTCACAACACAAGAGACCTACTAACATACAGTGAACAACACAATCTCTTTATTTTTTTTATATTTTTTTTATTTCACCTTTATTTAACCAGGTAAGCCAGTTGAGAACAAGTTCTCATTTACAACTGCGACCTGGCCAAGATAAAGCAAAGCAGTGCGATAAAAACAACAACACAGAGTTACATATGGGGTAAACAAAACATAAAGTCAAAAATACAACAGAAAATATATATACAGTGTGTGCGAATGTAGTAAGTTATGGAGGTAAGGCAATAAATAAATAGGCCATAGTGCAAAAATAGTGACAATTTTGTAATTAATAGATGTGCAAAAGATTATGTGCAAATAGAGATACTGGGGTGCAAATTAGCTAAATAAATAACAATAGTAGTTGGATGGGCTAATAACAGATGGGCTGTGTACAGGTACAGTGATCGGTAAGCTGCTCTGACAACTGACGCTTAAAGTTAGTGAGGGAGATAAAGAGTCTCCAGCTTCAGAGATTTTTGCAGTTCGTTCCAGTCATTGGCAGCAGAGAACTGGAAGGAATGGTGGCCAAAGGAGGTGTTGGCTTTGGGGATGACCAGTGAGTTATACCTGCTGGAGCGCATACTACGGGTGGGTGTTGCTATGGTGACCAGTGAGCTAAGATAAGACAGGGATTTGCCTAGCAGTGATTTATAGATGACCTGGAGCCAGTTTGTTTGGCGACGAATATGTAGTGAGGGCCAGCCAACAAGAGCGTACAGGTCACAGTGGTGGGTAGTGTATGGGGCTTTGGAGACAAAACGGATGGCACTGTGATAGACTACATCCAATTTGCTGAGTAGAGTGTTGGAGGCTATTTTGTAAATGACATCGCCAAAGTCAAGGATCGGTAGGATAGTCAGTTTTACGAGGGCATGTTTGGCAGCATGAGTGAAGGAGGCATTGTTGCGAAATAGGAAGCCGATTCTAGATCTAACTTTTGATTGGAGATGCTTAATGTGAGTCTGGAAGGAGAGTTTACAGTCTAACCACCCCTAGACTCAAGCATACAAAACATTTATATATCCTTTATTTACCCAGGTGAGATATGTCTTTCAGAGGGGAGGTCTTGAGTTATTTAATTGAATACAGCTGTTGTTGTCTAGTTTATTGACACTGTGAAAATTCATACCATACCACTTAGATGCAAGGTATTGGAATCAATATTAGAGCAGAGCCCAAGTCTTGGTCCTTGATCTGACTCCTCTCTTTCTCTCTGTGAGCAGAAGGAGATGTTCTACTCGGCCCAGTGTTCCCTGGTGACCCCAGACTTCCCTCAGCTGGGTGAGCTCATCACCAAATGCATGACCTACGACCCCAAGAGGAGGCCCTTCTTCAGGGCCATCGTCAGGGATGTCACCGGGTTGGCTGAGCAGAGTAAGAGGACAAAGAGTACTCACCTTCCCTCTGTTTCTGTCTCTGTCACCTTCCCTCTGTTACTCTCTGTCACCTTCCCTCTGTTTCTGTCTCTGTCACCTTCCCTCTGTTTCTCTCTGTCACCTTCCCTCTGTTTCTCTCTGTCACCTTCCCTCTGTCTCTGTCACCTTCCCTCTGTTTCTCTCTGTCACCTTCCCTCTGTTTCTCTCTGTCACCTTCCCTCTGTTTCTCTCTGTCACCTTCCCTCTGTTTCTGTCTCTGTCACCTTCCCTCTGTTACTCTCTGTCACCTTCCCTCTGTTTCTGTCTCTGACACCTTCCCTCTGTTACTCTCTGTCACCTTCCCTCTGTTTCTGTCTCTGTCACCTTCCCTCTGTTTCTGTCTCTGTCACCTTCCCTCTGTTTCTCTCTGTCACCTTCCCTCTGTTTCTCTCTGTCACCTTCCCTCTGTTACTCTCTGTCACCTTCCCTCTGTTTCTGTCTCTGTCACCTTCCCTCTGTTTCTCTCTGTCACCTTCCCTCTGTTTCTGTCTCTGTCACCTTCCCTCTGTTTCTCTCTTCACCTTCCCTCTGTTTCTCTCTGTCACCTTCCCTCTGTTTCTCTCTGTCACCTTCCCTCTGTTTCTCTCTGTCACCTTACCTCTTTCTCTCTGTCACCTTCCCTCTGTTTCTCTCTGTCACCTTCCCTCTGTTTCTCTCTGTCACCTTACCTCTTTCTCTGTCACCTTACCTCTTTCTCTCTGCAACTTCCCTCTTTCTCTCTGTCACCTTCCCTCTGTTTCTCTCTGTCACCTTACCTCTTTCTCTGTCACCTTACCTCTTTCTCTCTGTCACCTTCCCTCTTTCTCTCTGTCACCTTCCCTCTTTCTCTCTGTCACCTTACCTCTTTCTCTCTGTCACCTTCCCTCTTTCTCTCTGTCACCTTCCCTCTTTCTCTCTGTCACCTTCCCTCTGTTTCTCTCTGTCACCTTCCCTCTTTCTCTCTGTCACCTTCCCTCTGTTTCTCTCTGTGTGACCATCTGTGTCTGTTGTCATGATCTCTGTCACGCTCTCTCACATGCATGTGTATGTGCGAACAAGTTTGTGTGTGTGTTTATATTATAGACAATGTGTGAGTATAAGTATTATAACCCTGCCTCTGTGTGGCCCCTCCCCCAGACCCAGCCCTGCCTCCTGGTAGGGTGCCCATCCAGGAAGTGGACCCCACCGTGTTTGAGACCAGGTTCCTCAGGAAGATCAAAGACCTGGGCGAGGTAGGGAAACTCTTAATACATATAGACTTTTGGGGGTGCTTGTCCACATTAAAGGGGCAATCTGGTATTGGTACATCCATTGTTGGACTTTTTAATTATAGCCAATGATTCTTGAAGAGTATCACTTATATATATTATTTCATTGTTCATGTGGGGTGTGTGTATGTGTGCGTGTGTTCCTGTGTGTGTGTGTGTGTGTGTGTGTGTGTGTGTGTGTGTGTGTGTGTGTGTGTGTGTGTGTGTGTGTGTGTGTGTGTGTGTGTGTGTGTGTGTGTGTGTGTGTGTGTGTGTGTGTGTGTGTGTGTGTGTGTGTGTGTGTGTGTGTGTACTATTCGCAGGGTCACTTTGGCAAGGTGGAGTTGTGTCAGTATGACCCCCGCGGGGACGGCCGAGGGCAGCTGGTGGCGGTCAAGTCTCTGAAGCCAGAGAGCAGAGGGCAGCTGTGGAGAGAGATAGATACCATGAGGGGGCTCTACCACCACAACATCGTCAAATACAGAGGAGTGTGTAGCGAGGAGGGTGAGGAGAGTCACACATACACACATGATTATATAGAGTAGACAAACCACACCACACACACACACACACACACACACACACACACACCTCATCCCAGTGATGGGGGTTTGTGCTAACACCGTGTTTCTTTGTCTAGGTGGGAGGACCACTAAGCTGATCATGGAGTACCTGCCAGCGGGGAGCCTTAAGGAATATCTGCCCTGGAGGAAACACCAGACTGACCTCAAGAGACTTCTCCACTACGCCCTCCAGATCTGCCAGGTATAGTAGTATGGAGCTTAATTAATGCCAAAAGAAATTGCATTTTCATTTCATTGTTTTAATTAGACCCTGTAGCAGGATTCCCCAACTGGCGGCCCGCGGCCCGAATTTGGCCCGCGGGTGGTTTTATTTGGCCCCTCCAGTTTTCGGAGCAAAAAATATATAGTTTTTATTTTTATTGGCCAATATACCACGGCTAAGGGTTGTATCCAGGCACTTCGCATTGCGTCGTGCATAACAACAGCCCTTAGCCGTGGTATATTGGCCATATACCACAAACCCTCAAGGTGCCTTATTGCTTAATTATGTTCCGGCCCCCCGACCATCCGCTCAAGAAAAAATTGGCCCGCAGCTGAATCTAGTTGATGATCCCTGCCCTATAGGTATTTATGAATCTACTGCGGTTTGTGATTATGGAGAGAGTTGGACAGAATCTAAACCATTGCACTCCTTTAAATGTACTTTCTGCTACTTGGTAACTGTTGCCTAGTACCAAATGGAATGTTGTGGTAAATGTTTTGATGACTCTCATAGAAACCACAAGACTGCCAGGTAAATAGCTATAAAAGTATACAAGCTATAAAAACAAGTGAAAATGTGTGTGTGTCTCTCTCAGGGAATGGATTACTTGGGATCCCAGCGGTTCATCCACCGGGATCTGGCGGCCCGGAACGTTCTGGTGGAGAACGAGAGCACAGTGAAGATTGGAGACTTTGGCCTGACTAAGAGCATGAAGGAGGACAAGAGTTACTACACCGTCAAAGAGGAGACCGACAGCCCTGTGTTCTGGTGAGTAATGTATAAATAGAATGACAATAGAATGGCTTGTGGCACCTTAATTGGGGAGGACGGGCACGTGGTAATGGCTGGAGCAGAATGACTGGAAAGGTATCAACAACATGGTTTCCATGGTTTCCACGTGTTTGATGCCATTCCATTCGCTCCGTTCCAGCCATTGTTATGAGCCGTCCTCCCCTCAGCAGCCTCCACTGAATGACAAGATCAGGTCCTAAAACTTAATGTGATATTTCACTCCCAGATCAATGTTAAGGAGATGAGGTCAGGTGCATTTAAAAGCCTGGATCCCAGTCTATTTCATTTCTATTGTTGCTACCAGAGGCAGTTTGGAACTCGGTAATGAGTGTTGCAGCCGAGGATTTGTGGTCACTACGCTCTTCAGCACTCGGCGGTCCCGTTCTGTGAGGTTGTGTGGCCTACCACTTCGCAGCTGAGCCGTTGTTGCTCCTAGACATTTCCACTTCACAATAACATCACTTACAGTTGACCGGGGCAGCTCTAGCAGGGCAGAAATGTGATGAACTGACTTGTTGGAAAGGTGGCATCCTATGACGGTGCCACATTGAAAGTCACTGAGCTCTTCAGTAAGGCCATTCTACTGCCAGTGTTTGTCTATGGAGATTGCATGGCTGTGTGCTCAATTTTATTCACCTGTCAGCAACGGGTGTGGCTGAAATAGCCGAATCCACTAATTTATCTTTATCTGTGATTGATCAGATTCAATTCTGATGTTCGCTCCTATTATGTTAACAGGGTGGGGCTCATTCTATTGACATTAGCTCACATGGGCGGCAGGTAGCCTAGCGGTAAAGAGTGTTGAGCCAGTAACTGAGAGGTTGCTGGTTCGAATCCCCAAGTTGACAAGGTGAAAAATCTGTCGATGTACTCTTGAGTCCTTGCTCTGGATAAGAGTTTCTGCTAAGTGATTACAATGTACATATTAACCTTGGTCGTGATCATTAGGCAGTTGGCACCCAACGGGGAGGAACTACCTGAACTTGTCCAATAAGAAACGCTGTTTTCGGGTGCAAAACATTTTGCTACGGTGTGCCCTAACCCTTGTGTTGCCTTGTAGGTATGCTCCTGAGTGCCTGGTGGACTGTAAGTTTTACCCTGCGTCTGACGTGTGGTCCTTCGGAGTGACCCTGTATGAGCTGTTGACCTACTGTGAGACAAGCAGCAGCCCTACCACGGTAAATAACTTTGTCTCTTGTTAACCTCACTATGAAAATATGTTTATACAAATTCCTTAAACTTTGCTGATTTAAAAAAATATTAGGGGTCAGACATGTTAACATGTATCTGATGAGAAGTATCCTAGTCTTGGCTAATCAAACTAGCGCCTGTCTGTTTTGGGGTCAAATCATTCAGAAGTTCAATACTCTGAGCTTTTTCCCACAAAGTCTTCACTTTTCCACTTCCCTTCATGGATTTTAAAGGAAATTACTAGAAATTCCTTCCCCATGCTTGTACCAATCCAATGCTTCTAAGTGCATGGGAAGAGTGCACAAGTGTATACTTTGGGAGAAAAGACTGGGGTGTAGGTTGGGACAGAATTGCGGAGCGTAGGACCAGCGTTTCATCTGTTTTGGTTTTGATCATGTGTTATGGTTGTTCACAGGTATTCTTGGAGATGCTTCGTCCAACCCAGGGTCAGATGACTCTCACCCGATTGGTGGAAGTGCTGATGTCCGGCAGGAGGCTGCCCTGTCCACCTCGCTGCCCAGACGCGGTAAGAGAACTGGGGAATGATGTCATCTGCTCACCAAGGCTGTAGTCGTTCCTTCTCTTTCATCTGAAAGATACTACTCTGGGGTGAAGTTTCCCCTAGGTACAGATCTAGGCTCAGCTTCCCCTCCCCCAATCATAACCTTAACCATGGGGAAACTGACCCAAGATCAGCGTCTAGGCACAACTTCACCATACACCAACGATAATAGCACCCTTTCTAAATACAAAATCAGTAGTGTTCCTCTACAGGTATAGGATCTTAATTTGACCAGTTTCTCACAGCAGGAAAATAATCCTAGAGCAACAGGAAATGTGAATTATTTTGTAGGGGTTGATAAATTCTTAGTTAGGGCAAATCAAGTCTGACATTTTAAAGTGGAAATTACAAACTTTAGAAGCCTTTTCAAACCTTGAATTTTCTGCAGGAAATGTCCTGCAACAACAGGGTGATCAAATTAAGATCCTACACCTATATAAAAAAAAACGACCCTCAATAGGAATGAGTGGGAATAGACCAACCTGCACATCCAATGGCTTTGAGCAGGTGCTGGGTATCAAAGTCAATGTACATTAGCATAAAAAGGAAAACTGCATACACTGGGATTAACATGTCTTCCCAGGTGTGTTTATCATAACAACGTTTTGACCCTTAGGTCAATGTTTTGACCTTTCATCATATTCCTTTTTTGCTGCTTCTTGACCAAAGAAGATCTTTCTATCTGGTCTCTGATCTTTGCTCTTCTGTGTGTGTGTGTGTGTGTGTGTGTGTGTGTGTGTGTGTGTGTGTGTGTGTGTGTGTGTGTGTGTGTGTGTGTGTGTGTGTGTGTGTGTGTGTGTGTGTGTGTGTGTGTGTGTGTGTGTGCGCAGGTATACTCTCTGATGAGGAGGTGTTGGGAGAGTTCCCCGGAGAACAGGATTCAGTTCAAAGGCCTGATCACAGAGCTGGAGCTGCTGCTGAACGAGATGCATGGAGGAGATAGACTGGCTGTCTGACCTGACAAAGCTCACACATAGATGGATAGATAATAATATATAATTCATATTATAATAATAATATATATGCCATTTAGCAGACACTTTTATCCAAATAGATAGATAGACGGGTGGATGGATGGATGAAAACACAGCCAGCAAAGATGGACATACAGACAAAGACATACAGAAAGCACAGACAAAAGCTCACTTTTGTCAAAAGATAAAAGCAATATCTTTTTTTACAATAGGGAAACACATTTAGGCTAGATTGAAAACTGGACACTGTACCACTCCGCCATTAGGTTAGCCACTGGAGCCCCCTACCACACACACTGTTCTCTCCCACTGGAGCCCCCTACCGCACCCACTGTTCTCTCCCACTGGAGCCCCCTACCGCACCCACTGTTCTCTCCCACTGGAGCCCCCTACCACACCCACTGTTCTCTCCCACTGGAGCCCCCAACCGCACCCACTGTTCTCTCCCACTGGAGCCCCCTACCGCACCCACTGTTCTCTCCCACTGGAGCCCCCTACCGCACCCACTGTTCTCTCCCACTGGAGCCCCCAACCGCACCCACTGTTCTCTCCCACTGGAGCCCCCTACCGCACCCACTGTTCTCTCCCACTGGGGCCCCCTACCGCACCTGCCACGGTTTCTCTCTATGAGCAGTTTGGCCTACCATCCCTCACAAGCAGATGACAAATTTACTGGTTCACCCTTACTTACAAAACCCTTACTGGCAAAGCCCCACTCTAGCTCTCTAAACTCCTGTCCTTCTCCCAGTCCTTCTACAGCCTACCTACACTCTAGCTCTCTAAACTCCTGTCCTTCTCCCAGTCCTTCTACAGCCTACCTACACTCTAGCTCTCTAAACTCCTGTCCTTCTCCCAGTCCTTCTACAGCCTACCTACACTCTAGCTCTCTAAACTCCTGTCCTTCTCCCAGTCCTTCTACAGCCTACCTACACTCTAGCTCTCTAAACTCCTGTCCTTCTCCCAGTCCTTCTACAGCCTACCTACACTCTAGCTCTCTAAACTCCTGTCCTTCTCCCAGTCCTTCTACAGCCTACCTACACTCTAGCTCTCTAAACTCCTGTCCTTCTCCCAGTCCTTCTACAGCCTACCTACACTCTAGCTCTCTAAACTCCTGTCCTTCTCCCAGTCCTTCTACAGCCTACCTACACTCTAGCTCTCTAAACTCCTGTCCTTCTCCCAGTCCTTCTACAGCCTACCTACACTCTAGCTCTCTAAACTCCTGTCCTTCTCCCAGTCCTTCTACAGCCTACCTACACTCTAGCTCTCTAAACTCCAGTCCTTCTCCCAGTCCTTCTACAGCCTACCTACACTCTAGCTCTCTAAACTCCTGTCCTTCTCCCAGTCCTTCTACAGCCTACCTACACTCTAGCTCTCTAAACTCCTGTCCTTCTCCCAGTCCTTCTACAGCCTACCTACACTCTAGCTCTCTAAACTCCAGTCCTTCTCCCAGTCCTTCTACACAGCCTACCTACACTCTAGCTCTCTAAACTCCTGTCCTTCTCCCAGTCCTTCTACAGCCTACCTACACTCTAGCTCTCTAAACTCCTGTCCTTCTCCCAGTCCTTCTACAGCCTACCTACACTCTAGCTCTCTAAACTCCTGTCCTTCTCCAGTCCTTCTCCCAGTTCCAGTCTCCAGTCCTTCTCCCGTCTTCCCGTCTTCTCCCAGTCCTTCCCGTCCTTCTCCCCATGTCCTTCTCCCGTCCTCTCCGTCCTTCTCCCTGTCCTTCTCCCAGTCCTTCTCCACCTGTTCCTTCTCCCAGTCCTCCTCTTTTCCCTGTCCTTCTCCCAGTCCTTCTCCCGTCCTTCTCCCGTCCTTCTCCCTGTCCTTCTCCCCAGTCCTCTTCCCTCTCTCCCTGTCCTTCTCCTCCTTCCCAGTCCTTCTCCCTGTCCTTCTCCCAGTCCTTCTCCCGTCCTTCTCCCAGTCCTTCTCCCAGTCCTTCTCCCGTCCTTCTCCCGTCCTTCTCCCAGTCCTTTCTCCCTGTCCTTCTCCCAGTCCTTCTCCCAGTCCTTCTCCAGTCTCCCTTCTCCCAGTCCTTCTCCCGTCCTTCTCCGTCCTTCTCCCTCCCAGTCCTTCTCCCATGTCCTTCTCCCAGTCCTTCTCCCGTCTTCCCAGTCTTCTCCCCAGTCCTTCTCCCTAGTCCTTTCTCCCAGTCCTTCTCCCTGTCCTTCTCCCAGTCCTTCTCCCAGTCCTTCTCCCAGTCCTCTTCTCCCTGTCCTTCTCCCAGTCCTTCTCCCTGTCCTCTCCCGTCCTTCCCAGTCTTCTCCCTCCTTCTCCCAGTCCTTCTCCCTCCCCAGTCTTCCCTCTTCTTCCCTGTCCTTCCTCCCTCAGTCCTTCTCCCTGTCCTTCTCCCAGTCCTTCTCCCAGTCCTTCTCCCAGTCCTTCTCCCGCTCCTTCCCAGTCCTTCAGTCCTTCTCCCCAGTCCCTTCTCCCTGTCCTTCTCCCAGTCCTTCTCCCTGTCCTTCTCCCAGTCCTTCTCCCAGTCCTTCTCCCAGTCCTTCTCCCAGTCCTTCTCCCTGTCCTTCTCCCTGTCCTTCTCCCAGTCCTTCTCCCATCCTTCTCCCAGTCCTTCTCCCTGTCCTTCTCCCTGTCCCTTCTCCCCTGTCCTTCTCCCAGTCCCCCTTCCTTCTCCCAGTCCTTCTCCCTGTCCTTCTCCCAGTCCTTCTCCCAGTCCTTCTCCCAGTCCTTCTCCCTGTCCTTCTCCCTGTCCTTCTCCCAGTCCTTCTCCCTGTCCTTCTCCCAGTCCTTCTCCCTGTCCTTCTCCCAGTCCTTCTCCCTGTCCTTCTCCCAGTCCTTCTCCCTGTCCTTCTCCCGGTCCTTCTCCCTGTCCTTCTCCCAGTCCTTCTCCCAGTCCTTCTCCCTGTCCTTCTCCCAGTCCTTCTCCCTGTCCTTCTCCCAGTCCTTCTCCCTGTCCTTCTCCCAGTCCTTCTCCCAGTCCTTCTCCCAGTCCTTCTCCCTGTCCTTCTCCCTGTCCTTCTCTCTCCCATCCTTCTCCCGTTCCCTTCTCCCAGTCCTTCTCCCAGTCCTTCTCCCGTCCTTCTCCCAGTCCTTCTCCCGTCCTTCCCCTTTCCCGTCCTTCTCCCAGTCCTTCTCCTCCAGTCCTTCTCCCCCTTCTCCCAGTCCTTCTCCCTTTCCCTTCTTCCCTTCTCCCGTCCTTCTCCGTCCTTAGTCCCTCTTCTCCCGCCTTCTCCCTGTCCTCTCCCGCTCTCCCTCTTCTCCCTCTCTCCCAGTCCTTCTCCCTGTCCTTCTCCCAGTCCTTCTCCCAGTCCTTCTCCCTGTCCTTCTCCCTGTCCTTCTCCCAGTCCTTCTCCCAGTCCTTCTCCCAGTCCTTCTCCCAGTCCTTCTCCCAGTCCTTCTCCCAGTCCTTCTCCCAGTCCTTCTCCCTGTCCTTCTCCCAGTCCTTCTCCCTGTCCTTCTCCCTTCCCTTCTCTCCCAGTCCTTCTCCCAGTCTCCCTCTTCTCCCAGTCCTTCTCCCTGTCCTTCTCCCAGTTTCCTTCTCCCAGTCCTTCTCATCCCTCCCAGTCCTTCTCCCAGTCCTTCTCCCAGTCTCTCCTTCCTTCTCCTCCTTCTCCAGTCCTTTCCCTGTCCTTCTCCCAGTCCTTCTCCCAGTCCTTCTCCCAGTCCTTCTCCCAGTCCTTCTCCCAGTCCTTCTCCCAGTCCTTCTCCCATTTTCCTTCTCCCAGTCCTTCTCTCCTCCTCCTTCTTCCCAGTCCTTCTCCCAGTCCTTCTCCCAGCTTCCCTCTTCTCCCTGTCCTTCTCCCAGTCCTTCTCCCAGTCCTTCTCCCAGTCCTTCTCCCAGTCCTTCTCCCAGTCCTTTTCCTCCCTTCCTCTTCTCCCAGTCCTTCTCCCTGTCCTTCTCCCAGTCCTTCTCCCAGTCCTTCTCCCAGTCCTTCTCCCAGTCCTTCTCCCTCTTCTCCCAGTCCTTCTCCCTGTCCTTCTCCCAGTCCTTCTCCCAGTCCTTCTCCCAGTCCTTCTCCCAGTCCTTCTCCCAGTCCTTCTCCCTGTCCTTCTCCCAGTCCTTCTCCCTGTCCTTCTACACTCTAGCTCTCCCTGTCTGTTCCCACATCCCGCTCCAACTCTGGCTCCAAAACATTTCAACACTCTGCTGCTACTGACTGGAATAAACTCCAACAGGATGTACAACTCAACCAATTATTAATCTCCATCCCCAGTTTCATTATCAGTTTACATTACCTGGTTATCTACCCGTGACTGCTTTTAGACTCAGTAGCTATTAGTTGTGTCCCCTGTAGGTGTTTTAATGTTATGTGTTGTAAATATGTCTTTTAGCTTTTTAATAAATGTCTGGTTTGTCTGTCTGTATGTATACACCGGTCTGCTTTGCGGCACGGTTATTGCCCCATCTTGGTCAGGTCATTATTGTTAAAGAGAACGTGTTCTCAATTACTTACCTGCTTAAATAAAGGTTAAATAAACAAATATTTACTTTTCCACATACAGTAACTCAAACATACAGTGGGGGAAAAAAGTATTTAGTCAGCCACCAATTGTGCAAGTTCTCCCACTTAAAAAGATGAGAGAGGCCTGTAATTTTCATCATTTTCATCAACTATGACAGACAAATTGAGAAAATAAAATCCACAAAATCACATTGTAGGATTTTTTATGAATTTATTTGCAAATTATGGTGGAAAATAAGTATTTGGTCACCTACAAACAAGCAAGATTTCTGGCTCTCACAGACCTGTAACTTCTTCTTTAAGAGGCTCCTCTGTCCTCCACTCGTTACCTGTATTAATGGCACCTGTTTGAACATGTTATCAGTATAAAAGACACCTGTCCACAACCTAAAACAGTCACACTCCAAACTCCACTATGGCCAAGACCAAAGAGCTGTCAAAGGACACCAGAAACAAAATTGTAGACCTGCACCAGGCTGGGAAGACTGAATCTGCAATAGGTAAGCAGCTTGGTTTGAAGAAATCAACTGTGGGAGCAATTATTAGGAAATGGAAGACATACAAGACCACTGATAATCTCCCTCGATCTGGGGCTCCACGCAAGATCTCATCCCGTGGGGTCAAAATGATCACAAGAACGGTGAGCAAAAACCCAGAACCACACGGGGGGACCTAGTGAAAGACCTGCAGAGAGCTGGGACCAAAGTAACAAAGCCTACCAACAGTAACACACTACGCCGCCAGGGACTCAAATCCTGCAGTGCGAGACGTGTCCCCCTGCTTAAGCCAGTACATGTCCAGGCCCGTCTGAAGTTTGCTAGAGTGCATTTGGATGATCCAGAAGAGGATTGGGAGAATGTCATATGGTCAGATGAAACCAAAATATAACGTTTTGGTAAAAACTCAACTCGTTGTGTTTGGAGGACAAAGAATGCTGAGTTGCATCCAAAGAACACCATACCTACTGTGAAGCATGGGGGTGGAAACATCATGCTTTGGGGCTGTTTTTCTGCAAAGGGACCAGGACGACTGATCCGTGTAAAGGAAAGAATAAATGGGGCCATGTATCGTGAGATTTTGAGTGAAAACCTCCTTCCATCAGCAAGGGCATTGAAGATGAAACGTGGCTGGGTCTTTCAGCATGACAATGATCCCAAACACACCGCCCGGGCAACGAAGGAGTGGCTTCGTAAGAAGCATTTCAAGGTCCTGGAGTGGCCTAGCCAGTCTCCAGATCTCAACCCCATAGAAAATCTTTGGAGGGAGTTGAAAGTCTGTGTTGCCCAGCGACAGCCCCAAAACATCACTGCTCTAGAGGAGATCTGCATGGAGGAATGGGCCAAAATACCAGCAACAGTGTGTGAAAACCTTGTGAAGACTTACAGAAAACGTTTGACCTGTGTCATTGCCAACAAAGGGTATATAACAAAGTATTGAGAAACTTTTGTTATTGACCAAATACTTATTTTCCACCATAATTTGCAAATAAATTCATTAAAAATCCTACAATGTGATTTTCTGGATTTTGTTTTCTCATTTTGTCTGTCATAGTTGACGTGGACCTATGATGAAAATTACAGGCCTCTCTCATCTTTTTAAGTGGGAGAACTTGCACAATTGGTGGCTGACTAAATACTTTTTTCCCCCACTGTATTGTGACCTTCAAATGCATGTTGTTGTCGTATTCTATATTTTCTATAGTACAGTATTGATTTGTTTTCCTTTTCACAAGCTATGGATACAGTGTAAGTAACAGGACCTTTATGGACGCTATGGATACAGTGTAAGTAACAGGACCTTTATGGATGCTATGGATACAGTGTAAGTAACAGGACCTTTATGGACGCTATGGATACAGTGTAAGTAACAGGACCTTTATGGATGCTATGGATACAGTGTAAGTAACAGGACCTTTATGGACGCTATGGATACAGTGTAAGTAACAGGACCTTTATGGACGCTATGGATACAGTGTAAGTAACAGGACCTTTATGGATGCTATGGATACAGTGTAAGTAACAGGACCTTTATGGACGCTATGGATACAGTGTAAGTAACATGACCTTTATGGATGCTATGGATACAGTGTAAGTAACAGGACCTTTATGGATGCTATGGATACAGTGTAAGTAACAGGACCTTTATGGATGCTATGGATACAGTGTAAGTAACAGGACCTTTATGGACGCTATGGATACAGTGTAAGTAACAGGACCTTTATGGATGCTATGGATACAGTGTAAGTAACAGGACCTTTATGGACGCTATGGATACAGTGTAAGTAACAGGACCTTTATGGATGCTATGGATACAGTGTAAGTAACAGGACCTTTATGGATGCTATGGATACAGTGTAAGTAACAGGACCTTTATGGATGCTATGGATACAGTGTAAGTAACAGGACCTTTATGGATGCTATGGATACAGTGTAAGTAACAGGACCTTTATGGATGCTATGGATACAGTGTAAGTAACAGGACCTTTATGGACGAGTGAGTTAGTTCATTGTGTTAGGATGAAAGACATCAAGGCCAGGATTCAATCAGATCAGCGGTAACCTGCGTTAGCCCGACAAAAGCATAGCCTTTTCATTGCTTTTGTTAAGGCGGTGTCGGAGGTGTAACTGCGTTTAGAGCTGTGAGCCTAATCAAGGTGTAGATTACATCACACATTCCAGTGTTCGAACTCGTGCGTAGGGATTTCTACTCATGCGACTCGATGCATCTAATGGCAGCGTCTGCGATAGGTAACGCCAGGAGCTTGTGGATTCGACAGCTCTAACGTAGTTACACCTCCGACACCGCCTTAACAAAAGCAAAGGCTATGCGTTTGTCGGCTAACGCAGGTTAACGCTGATCTGATTGAATCCTCTAAAGCCTCATCTGTTAGGATCAAAATGGTGTAATTGATTACCCTTGGTATTAATGTTCTATAATAGTAAACAAAGTACAAGAAGTCCTTACATTTTATTGGTCAAGTGTATCCAATTGCAAGGTGTGTGTGTGTGTGTGTGTGTGTGTATACGTGCACGTGTTAGTGCACATGGAGGCATCAGTCCTCCAACTCCTCGAATGACAGTGAGTGTGTCCAGGCCACCAGTTTGTCCACCTCGTTCTCCCAGAGGTCCTGTTGCTGTCTGTCATGGGCTCTACAGAGATCCCTGGAGAACATGGTGTCTCCCTGCACACTCACCTGAGGGGCCAGCATGTCTACAAGGACACACATAAAATATGGGCTCTGTCACTGCTCAAAGTACACACACACACACACACACTGAATTCATCATGGACTTACCTGGTGCTCTGTAGAGGAGGTAAATCTTTCTCATTTGGTCCATCCTCGCCTGTCTCCCCTCACTCACTGGTTCTGTCTTCTTAGGCTGGCGCACGGTACCATACATTATGGCTCTGATCCTGTCACAAAGCACATCTGGTTGTTAAGGCTCTCAACCTGTCACAAAGCACATCTGGTTGTTAAGGCTCTCAACCTGTCACAAAGCACATCTGGTTATTAAGGCTCCCAACCTGTCACAAAGCACATCTGGTAGTTAAGGCTCTGAACCTGTCACAAAGCACATCTGGTTATTAAAGCTCTGAACCTGTCACAAAGCACATCTGGTTGTTAAGGCTCTCAACCTGTCACAAAGCACATCTGGTTATTAAGGCTCTCAACCTGTCACAAAGCACATCTGGTTATTAAGGCTCTCAACCTGTCACAAAGCACATCTGGTTATTAAGGCTCTCAACCTGTCACAAAGCACATCTGGTTATTAAAGCTCTGAACCTGTCACAAAGCACATCTGGTTATTAAGGCTCTGAACCTGTCACAAAGCACATCTGGTTATTAAAGCTCTGAACCTGTCACAAAGCACATCTGGTTGTTAAAGCTCTGAACCTGTCACAAAGCACATCTGGTTGTTAAGGCTCTGAACCTGTCACAAAGCACATCTGGTTGTTAAGGCTCTCAACCTGTCACAAAGCACATCTGGTTATTAAAGCTCTGAACCTGTCACAAAGCACATCTGGTTATTAAGGCTCTGAACCTGTCACAAAGCACATCTGGTTATTAAAGCTCTGAACCTGTCACAAAGCACATCTGGTTATTAAAGCTCTGAACCTGTCACAAAGCACATCTGGTTATTAAGGCTCTGAACCTGTCACAAAGCACATCTGGTTATTAAAGCTCTGAACCTGTCACAAAGCACATCTGGTTGTTAAGGCTCTCAACCTGTCACAAAGCACATCTGGTTATTAAGGCTCTGAACCTGTCACAAAGCACATCTGGTTGTTAAGGCTCTCAACCTGTCACAAAGCACATCTGGTTATTAAGGCTCTCAACCTGTCACAAAGCACATCTGGTTATTAAAGCTCTGAACCTGTCACAAAGCACATCTGGTTATTAAAGCTCTGAACCTGTCACAAAGCACATCTGGTTATTAAGGCTCTGAACCTGTCACAAAGCACATCTGGTTATTTGAGAGTTAAAAAAAAAACAAGAGAAATACGTTTCCATTTGCGAATGATTGAGATGTTTGCCTTTGTATCGCATGGGTTTATAAAAGCCATGGAATTCTGGAAAGACAATGCAAAACCCAACCATATTGGAAAGGCAGCAGCTATGGGAAATCAGACAGGTACCGACAGTATATGTGTTTTAACCAGCAATCTTACACAGCAATACAAGCCAAGAGGTAACCTTCTTTATCTTCAGAGTAAACAGACTTACGTTTCACGCTGTGGACCCATGGGAGATTCCTTGTCTGGTGACCCATAATACATGGCAAAGGTCTCTGGGCGCTTGATGAGATCCTCCAGGGCTGGAATACAACATCAGGTAGCACTCATAGTAACTTGTATCATCATCTTTTAACAGGCTAACTCCTAATCATGAGGAGTTTGTGTATTTAGATAGAAATACATACATTCATTCCTCATCCACGAGCCAGCTTTAGTTGTGGCCATCTTTGTCCACGTCTTCAGATAATCCTCAAAAGGGATTCTCCTCACAAGCCTTGAGGCATTACATTTAGCCATGGAACACAGAATATTACACTAAACTAGTGTAACTACAGAAGTCAAGAGTATAGTACTATCATGATACTACGCAATAAATTCACAATGTTTTCACTTTGAATGTGTCATCACAAAAAAAAAGGGGATAAAACATAACATAATACCGTAATGTCAGTTCTATCATTGTGAATTAACTAATCAATCAAGGGAACGAAGAAAAAAATGATTCTGTAAATGAAAGAGATGAGCACATGGAAAGTGGAGATATTCTCTCACCTGTTCTGTGAGTCCAACTGCACAGCTTTCCTGTTCCCTACAGGGGGGTGGTCATAATAGACAGATCAGTGTGAGATGGGATATGATAGCCTTATCTTAGAATAGAATAGACTAGCGGCATCCAGCGGTAAATCATTTGAAATACGTTTTAATTTCATATTTGAAGACCGAAAGTGAAGCAACCACCACAGACTCTTCAACTCAATAACAAAAATACAAAACACAGTGGAATATAAAGTAGCCTACCCCATGGTACCAAACGAATAAAATCAGCAAAGGACGCCAATCCACCGCCAGTAAAAACAAAATGGGGGGGGGGGGGGGAGACCTTCAACTGAATAACAGGTGAAGTTATCCCACAGCCTTTTACAGTGACAGATTCAAATGACCTGCTATGAGGTCAGCTCACCCAGTGTTTCACCTTACCAGAATACGTGGCTGTAGTTTCACATCTTACATCAGAAGCGTGTTAAATTCTCAGGCGTTGGCGCACTACGTTATGAGTGTGTAAAAAGAGAAGGAAACTGAGCCACAAAAACGACATTATTTCTGAAGAGGCATCGTTTCAGAATGAGAGGTGGTGTAGCTCTGTTGGTGTTGTTGTTCTGTCTGGCTGGGGTCATGGGGTCATGGGGTCATGGGGTCATGGGCTCAGGGAGAGAGTGGAGGGGTCAGAGAGAGTTTGATCGAGTGCCAAGAGACTGAAGCTACATAGACCACCCACAAACAGACAAGAAGCCAGACCACCACCCCCCCTGACATCTGGGCAGAGCTGAAGGAGCTGAGAGACATGGTGATGGAGCAGAAAGTGGAGCTGAGTGTCACCAAGACTGAACTGAGGAACATGGAGGCCAGACTGAAAGACAGTGAGGACCTGGCAGAGGACCAACGATTTGAGCTTCGACTCACCAAGAAGTACTGTAGGTGGAGGAGCTGAAGACGGAAACGAAGCCCAAGCAGCTAAACCGTCAGCCAATGGGGGCCAGAGTGACAGCCAGTGCGAAGGAGGAGCAGGAAAAAGTAGCTGACAGCACTTAGAGAGGAGATGAGCATCACCAAGACTGAACTGCAGCTCCAGAAAAACAAGATGGAGGAGCTGGAGAGAAAGAATGCAGCCATGGAGGCCAGAGTGACAGCCAGTAAAAGGGAGGTAGAGGAGCTGAAGAGGGAGAACACAGACAATATGTTCTCTGCTGGTTTGACTGATTCAGGAATTGTAGGACCATTCAACACTGAATCCCAACTGATCTACAAGAGAGTCATCACCGACATTGGAGCGGCCTATAACCCAATTACAGGTGTCTTCCCAGCACCTGTGAGAGTAGTCTCCTACTTCAGATACAGTGCCTGGGTAATACCGCAGTTCGCAAACCATGAGAGTAGGCCTGTTCCACAATGACCAAACAGTTGTGTATAATTATGTACACACTGACCATCAAGATAAGTATGTTTCAAAGTCATTGTCTCTAGAGCTGGACAATTGGGATGTGGTCTACGTCCGTCTCCCCTCGGGGAAAGGGCTCTATGACAGCACTAATAACTACAGCACCTTCAGTGGCAACCTGCTCTTCCCTTTGTGAGGGGAGCACCGTTCTGTAATGCTGTAATGAACTCTGCTTTCCAGTGGTGTAAAGTACTTTAAAGTACTACTTATGTAGTTTTTTGGGTTATCTGTACTTTACTATTTATATTTTTGACAACTTTTACTTCACTACATTCCTAAAGAAAATAATGTACTTTTTACTCCATTCATTTTCCCTGACACACAAAAGTATTTGTTACATTTTGAATGTTTAGCAGGACAGGAAAATGGTCCAATTCATGCACTTATCAAGAGAGCATCTGTCACGCCCTGGCTCTGGGGACTCTTATATGTTGAGCCAGGGTGTGGATTTTCTGTGTTATTTTCTATGTTTTGTTCTAGTTCGTGTATTTCTATGTTGGCCAGGGTGGTTCCCAATCAGAGGCAGCTGTAGCTTGTTGTCTCTGATTGGGGACCATACTTAGGCAGCCTGTTTGGCACTGTTTATTGTGGGATCTTGTTCCGGAAGGTTTGTGTTCAACCCAGGACATCACGTATCGTTTGTTTTGTTGTTTTGGTTCGTGTTGTGTACTGCAATAAAAGAATGTACGCATATCACGCTGCGCCTTGGTCCGCTTCATCTAACGACGATCGTGACAGCATCCCTGCTCATCCCTACTGCCTCTGATTTGGTGGACTCACTAAACACAAATGCTTCATTTGTAAGTGATGTCTAAGTGTTGGAGTGTGCCCCTGACTATCCGTAAATAAAAAGAAAAAAAGAAAATCATGCCGTCTGGTTTGCTTAATATAAGGAATTAGAAATTATTTATACTTTTACTTTTGATCCTTAAGTATATTTTTTAAATTACATTTACTTTTGATAACTAAATATATTTAAAATCAAATACTTTTAGACTTTTACTCAAGTAGTATTTTACTGGGTGACTTTCGCTTTTACCGGAGTCATTTTCTATTAAGGTATCTTTACTTTTACTCAAGTATGACAATTGTGTACTTTTTCCACCACTGCTGCTTTTTGATGGGAGCACTTCTGGTGTTAAAGCATCCAATGTTCCTCTCTAACCAATAGGAAGCATTTAAAAAGAAAAATAATGCTGCCGTTTGTGTCTTACAGTATTGTAAAAGTTTATGGTAATTCTTGCATTTATTTAGATAATGATAACATTAGCATACACTGTAAAATTGAGTCAACGTACAATTGTAAAGGCAATTGTAAGGCAACCATCTGCAATAGGATTTTCACACACAAACTTTTTGTTGTGAGTTTTTGCTGAGCAAACTCACAATCCTATTGCAGCTGGTTGCCTTACAATTCATATTTTTTTTTTTTTTTTTTTTTTTTTACAGTTTAGCTTTGTAACGTAGCCCAATGTAATCAATAGCTAATCTTTGTACTAGGTGGCGCTCACTCACTCTCCAGTTCCTGGCTGGCCTTGACACAGTCCAGCACCACACGGTGGTAGGTGGATGGGCTGGACCAGAGCATGTCAGCAGCTTCGGGGTTCACCGCTCCCTCCAGGACTGGGTTGGACAGCATGGTCTAGAGGGGACATAGGAGAGGAGACCATACAGAGACTTGATACTACTACACTACTACTATGGGGTCTATGAACACTGCAAGTGGCAGGGCTTTTTTAAAACGAGTATGTAATAGTTCTATCTTTATCACAATAGACTAACAATTGCACCAAATACTGCAACAAAATTAAACTAAATGCAGTCTAATTTATTAAATATACAGACAACAACATTGCAATTAAAAAATATTGATAAGAGATAATCCTGCAAATTCCTTCAGGCCCTAGTTACTGTAGCTACTCTATATAAAGTGACTGGTTATATGGAAGGGCTGTATCCAACCTGGACTCAGGGGTAGACATTACATAGTAAATGTAAATCCGGGACCCTCCAATTAGTATGATACCAATTAGTATGATATGTTACGTTTCGTATGGTATTCATTTGTGGATGTCCATCATCCATTTCATATGATATGTTACGAATTACAATTTGTATAATATGTTAGCAATTGCAATTCCTAAAATATGTTATGAATTTGCACTAATTTGTTGTGGCTAACGTTAGCTAGGTGGCTAGGTGACTAATGCTAACGTTAACTAGGGTAGGGGTTAAGGTTAGGGTTAAAGTTAAGAATTAGGTTAAAGGGTTAAGGTTAGGGTTAGGGGAAGGGTTAGCTAACATGCTAAGAAGTTGCAAAGTAGCTAACAAGTAGTAAGTAGTTGCAAAGTAGCTAATTCGCTAAAATGCGTAAGTTGTCCGTGATGAGATTTAAACATGCAACCTTTGGGTTGCTAGACGACGTGTTATACGCCCACCGATCTGTTCCGACCAACCACCCTACTTTCATTTTAGCCTTAAGTAACCTTCTGTCTTACGTAACCATACCAAACATAACATAACCATATAAGTGTCCTTTGCGTTTACTATGTTACGTCTAGTCTATGAGACCAGGCTGCTGTATCTCAAAATGTGCAGTAACGTGGGTGCCAACCTGGATGCTGAGAAGAATACTGCTAATTGAGATGCTGGGGTTCCACTCGCTGTCCAGGCAGGGGATACATGGGCTACCTGTGTCCTTGTCCACTTCAGTCACAACAGACATGTACAGGGTGAAATGAAACACTTTTCCTTTTTATGACACTATTATGGCAATAGATATTGGCGGGAACTCACCATTGGGGTGGAAAGGGATGGCGTTGAACTCGACAGTTGGAGGGACAGAGTTGTAAGCCTCACTGAAATGCAATGTCAGCAGCAAAACAGCACCTTATAGAACAGATAGATTTGAAAACGAATTTGCTTTTTTTTTCTTTTTTTTTTAATGCTTTTGGTAGTTCAGACACCAAGCCCTAAATGTAGACACCATGTAATCATCGTCACTAGCTGATCATCATCATCAATATTATTTTGTGGATGCTGAACACTTCATGGCCATATCACACCTTCCCACAAAGTGTCCTTCAGTCCCTCCACTTTAGCCTCCCATTCAAGCAGGCTGTCACTTACTGGCTTGGCCTCCAATCCCTTGTCCAAAAAAAAAAGAAATAAAAACTTTCAGCGCTTCACTGGTTATTTGAAGGTGACATGAATACACACTTGTTTCCTGTGAGAGATTTCTTCTTATGAGCACACACAAGTGGAATGACCTAATATCTTAAGATATGATGGATACATAAAAATATAGTAAAAACTCACTTTTAGATCCGCTGTCTGCAGTTTGAGGTATTGTTTTCCCAGCAAGAAGTGAGAGTGGGTGTGCATCATTCACTCGGTTCTTCACAACTTCACAATGGTATGTGCGAATATTTCATACAACAAACGCATGCTTTCATAGTCTGAAATGATAAAATATTACACTGGCGCAACGCACAGACATATTTTTTTTCAAGAGAACAATGGAGCGAGGTGATGTAATGTTTCGAAGCTGTTGTCAAGCAACATGTCTGTCAATTTGGTGGCAAGAACAGCTTTGTATTGAGCCAATAATAGTGTCGCTATAACAAGCTCCATCTTAAAGGAGCAATCTGCGATTCTACATCCATGTTTTGACTTTTAAATTAATGATATATAGCCATTGATTCTTGAAGAATATAACTTATGAATGCCTCATGCCATTAGTTCAACTGTCTAACCCCATCAGAATCCAAAACATAATCTTGTTTTACTTCATTGTTTATAAACATCGTAATTGTAAAAACACTGTATAGCTTCACACATAACTTAAGCTATTATTTTGATCTTATGGCTGGTCAGTCCTTGCATCTGTAGTTCTGTCTATGAATTTGAGAGTGGTTACATTTCCCTAAGCCGTTTATCTAAAAAGTTGGAGGGGTGTAGCATCGTTGTTGTTTGAACTGCAGGTTGCCACTTTAAATCACATTATATGAACACAGAATATATACATTTTCCTGTTTGGGATGCATTTTTCACTTGTTTCATTTTGATTATATAAGTATTTAGGTTACTCATTAGGCTACTCATTTATGGAAGAATGTCTATTCTTTATACCTTGCAGGATTTGACTAATGAAAACAACAACTAAATACGAAGTTGATCATGTTTTATTTTTGGTACAATTCACTCTTGCTCAATTTGAAGCTGAGTGGTGAGTGTTTTGAATTGGGGGTAATCTGAAAGTACAAAATCGAACAAAGATGCTTTTGATAGAGGGTGAAAGGGCCATCTAAGTGATGGTAGGATGGGGGATAGACAGTGTAGTTTGAGTATTTTATTAGGAAGGGGCAAGGGGTGGTAAGGGACAATCATGTGATGACTGATGGGCCACTGCGGCCTGTCCTCTCATGAAGCTGTGAGACCTTCAGGGCTATGGTAACCAGGGGGGCCAACATCACCTGGCACACACACACACACACACACACACACACACACACACACACACACACACACACACACACACACACACACACACACACACACACACACACACACACACACACACACACACACACACACACACACACAGACATTAGGTTATACACTAGTATGTAGCTACATGCACATGTTCTATGATGATATTCTTAGAAACATCACCGTTTGGTCAGTGAGATCTAATCTCTGAATCATCCTTTGTCTGATGTAAGACTTACCTGTGGATCCTGGAAGATCTTGTTGGGGTCTGTCTCGTAGCTGTCGATGTAGACCCGAACTGTCGCCCCCGTACTCCCTGTTCCACTGAGCCTGTAGATGACCCGGGAGCCGTCTGTCAATATTATCCTCAGGCCCTGCAGATAGAGAGAGGAGATTAGCCAGTTAAATAAAGTATTGGAGACTCCTACAGTAGCTACAGAAGTTGATATCATCCTTATATCCAATTAATCCAAAGTGACATGCATGTCCTGTTCAGTGAGCACGCCGAAACAGCCACCCCAATTCCCCACCTGGTTTCTGGAGATGCGCCCATCTACGGGGTCAGTGTATTCAAAGTTGTCGGCCCTCTCCACCTGGTAGAGCTTCTCCCCCACAGCGAACCTCTGGCCTACGAAGCCCTTCTCCAGCATCATCAGCTCCAGATCCTCCATCATCTGAACGGCTGTATCCAGGTCGACTTCCTCATAGTCATACCTGCCCAAGACAGCACAGCAGAAGATGAAACCAGGAGCTTTGGCTGCATTGCTCGCGTGCCTCTTTGTTTCTGCAGCCAACTCTTTTGTAATTTGTTCAAGCAGGAACAGGCTATTGGCTGCAAGGCACTTTGCTTTCCAGGCATAGTGTGTCTTTGACTTAATTTCCAGCTTGCTATACAACTCAAGGTTTCACTCAGACTTCAGCACTAGCCTGCCCTTCTACAACTCCCTGGCCCTGAGAAAGTCTGTGGGGATTCAGAAATATGTTCTCCAATTATATGCTTTGTGATTCACACTGTCCATTGCTCACCTGGTAAAGAAGTTTCTGCCAAACTTCTGCCAGTGGTCCTTCATGATGTCCTCCACACTCTGCTTCCTCGCTGCCAGGATGGACAGCCATGCCAGCACGGCCCAAAGTCCATCCTTCTCACGGATATGGTCAGCACCTGAAATGATAGAAACAGTATAGGTTTGCTTGAGGTTATTGTGGTGTTAGCCACCTTTTCTTGTAACTAGTTCCTGACATTTGGACTCACTGATGAGCTACCTGTGCCGAAACTCTCTTCTCCGCACAGGGACAGCCTGCCTGCGTCCATCAGGTTGCCAAAGAACTTCCACCCCGTGGGGGTCTCGTAGAGTTCAATCTTTGTTGCTCTGGCCACACTACGAAATACGGAGAAATAGGGGGATATAGTCATTTTGTTATTTTGGTGATCTTACATGATTACGGTTTATGATCATTCTGTACATTCAACCTTACAGTGTCCACAAGTTTGTTATTCATTCATTCATTGAGACAGGATGAAATGCAGTAATGGTCAATGTCACATTTTCTCATTGGATAGTGCCAACACTTATTATTATAATGTAATTATTTATTATATAATTTAATTTAATTATTATAATGCATTACGTAAATTTAAAATATTTTTATTTAAATTAAAAAATATTATTGTTTTTTAAAATTGTTTTTTTAAATCATTATTTTTATTTACATTTAAATTACTTTTTATTTAAATAAAAAATGTCTCATTGGATAATGCCAATACTTATTATTATAATGCAATTATTTATTATATAATTGAATGTAATTATTATAAGGCCTTACTTGTCCAGAGCAGCGCTGGTGGGCATACTGCGGGCGTAACCTCTCACCCCTGTGTGCTGGAAGTAGGGGATGCTGAAGACATTGGCAGCGATGACAGCCACAGAGTCTGAGGGGTTGACGAAAAAGCCATGCTTACCCAGGATCATGTTACGGTCCTAGGAAACCAGACAGAGGTTAGAGGTCAGAGGGTGTTGGCAACATCTAAATACAATTCAAAGCATCCAACCCCAAACCTTAAAGTTGGGATTGAAGTCTTCAGCCTGTCTGGGATGCGTAAAGAACGTCACTGATGTTTATTGTACCTTGATGGGTACTATTTTAACATTTCCTTTTAGAAATAGTCTTGGATGAAATATGACTAAGATAAATAAATATAGTGTATCAGTAGATTCGCAGTTGTTGTGTCAGCTTAGCCTAGTGTAAATCTTTAAGGTTTGGGGTTGGATGCTTTGAATTTGCCAAACATTTGCCACTTTGATATATATATATATAAAATATATAAATGACAAATTCACGAATTAAAGATAATTACTTACAATGGTGATCATTATTAAAAATACTGTTCAATTATTGGTTGATTGAACACTCACTCCGTCACCATCAAAGGCAGCTCCAAAATCGTGCTGGCCACTCTTCATGGTCTCAACCAGGTCGGCTGCATAGGTGAGGTTGGGGTCAGGGTGCTGACCCCCAAAGTCTTGCAAGGGGACACAGTTAATGGCGGAGTTAGCAGGAGAGCCCAGCTCTTCACACAGTATCCTCTTCACATAGGGACCTACCACTGAGGATTAAACAGAGGTACACAGGGAAGGAGAGAGGGAGGGAGGGAGGGAGGGAGGGAGGGAGGGATGGAGGGAGGGAGGGAGGGAGGGAGGGAGGGAGGGAGGGAGGGAGGGAGGGAGGGAGGGAGGGAGGGAGGGAGGGATAGAGTTTAATGATGAACAGGTTGATGGGACAAGTGCCATGGACAGAGGTATTAAGGGACAGGATTAGAGAAGTAGAGAATTACATAATTTGAATTAGAGTCATCTCCAGTACCCAACTGTGGCTGTTGAAAGAGACTAGCATTAGAGAAATCTCTCAGTCTTTGAGAGAGAAGTTCAGAGAAACTGGGTCGGGTTCTGTGGGTTATTGGATAGGGAGTGAGGGTTAGGGTGAAGACTTGGCAAAGACTTTGAGGGTTTCATAGTGATAGAATGACTGCGATGGAGACATTTGGTAAACCATAATGAGAGAGATTGTTAAGAATTGGAAGGAAATATGAATAGACAGCTGAAATACTATCCTTTTTCTTCATGGATTATTTGACCCTTACCCCAGTCCCGTGAAAACATTTGCCAAGTGCACCACCGTTAACCTACATTTTAGATACCAGAATATCCAATTACTCATCATAATCATAACTTTGATCTCTCATTTTCAGAAGCTTTGAAGTCAGATTAACAAGGCCACATCCTTGTGTTGACCTCCCGATTGCTCAAAGCCACATAAGCATGAACTTCATCTTGGAGAGAGAGGGAGCAGGCATGAACGTGGAACCTTGTTAAAATTCCATTAATGTCAAGATCTTCTGCAATCGAAAGACACCTGCTTTCCTGTGCAAAGGGGGGGTCCAGCCTTTGGTTTCAGTGTTATCACTGGTGTTCAGCGGGGTGGCAGATAGCCTAGCGGTTAAGAGTGTTGCTGGTTCAAATCCCTGAGCCGACTGGGTGAAAATCTGTCAATGTTCCCTTGAGCAATGCACTTAACCCTAATTGCTCTGGATAAGTGTAAATGTTATCACTGGGGAGCTCCTGGAAATGGTTCTAGGAACAGCTTGAGTTGAGAGGTTGTAGCAGACAGTTTCTGTAACCCCCCTCTCTCCTGAAAGACTGGATCATGTAACGGATAGTTGGATACAACAGCTGAATTCTCAACTGGGCTGCTGCTCTCACAAATTCTGCTCTGCTCATCTTTACGGTGGCACTGTGTGAGATTAGATTAAACCTAAACTGGATATCAACATCTGGATATCAACGTTGTCCGGGTTTGGCCGGGGTAGGCCGTCATTGTAAATAAGAATTTGTTCTTAACTGACTTGCCTAGTTAAATAAAGGTTAAATAAAAAACAACAACAACAACAAAAAAATCTGCGCTATATGTTCTGTACTGTACATCTGAATAGAGCAGCCTTCTTCTTACCTCCTAATCTTACAGAGCCAGGCGAGTGGGTCTGTAAATACTGCATATACTCCAACTACACGTTGTAGCTGGAAAGTCTGGCACGATAGATTACTAACCTCCATGCATGGCGTCTAGACGGATATTGATGTGGTTCTCCCCAGACAACAGCTCCTTCAGTGCGGCAAAGTCAAAGATGTTCCTCAGCATGTTGGCATAAGACTCCACCGAGTCCACTATCTCCACTGTGAGAAGACAAAGAATCCCTTCAGTTGCCCATCTCAGAAAACAAAGTAGGGAAACAGTTCAAATAATGAAGATAGGGGCAATGTTCTGTGGCCAGATTCAATCAAACCAGAACCTATGCTGTTAAAAAGTCACATTGATCTTGCACTGCAAACATGGAATGTCATGGTTTTATTCGTTTTTCTATAGAGCAGGTTTTATTGAATTCTAGCCTAAGTATTCTATTGCCTACTCTAAAACTGCCAACAAGGAATTCAGTTTATTTCCTTCTATTCAAACATCAGGTACATGTCTACTTCTCTAGAACTCTTGCCAGGTTTATGAGCGATGTGTTTGTGCTCACCTGTGAAGGGTTTGAACTTGTTCTCCAGGTCAAACATCTGTTTTCCCGGGGTAGCCAAGTTTACCCGGAGCTCTGGGCAGATGGCATACTCCTCTATGGTTCTGCTGATCTGGAAGATTTTGTTGGTGACCGCCTCCTGAGCTGGACCTGGGTTGGTTCAAACAGAAGCAAGACTTCATGTCATGTGTTACACAAGGGCACTCATTTGTGTTGATCTTAATTGTGCTGCTCTAGTCTATTAAATTGTGCTGGTGAAGTCACCAATTATTGATATAGAATGACATTGTATCAAAAGTGTCAAATATCTGCATCACTGAGCATGATACTTGTGGGAAATGTCTCTATCTTATCTTGTAACACTCTTGGCTAACATCCTTTCCTCCTGTCCCTTATTCTCTAGTTACAGTACCTCCATTAGCAGTGTTGAACTTGATGCCAAAGTCTCCGTTGGGTCCCCCGGGGTTGTGACTGGCTGTGAGGACGATACCGCCGATGGCCTTGTACTTCCTGATCACACAGGAAACCGCAGGAGTGGACATGATCCCGTGATGACCAATCACGAGCCGGCCGACCTGCCAAGATGACACAGGTCAGGTGTGTGTGTGTGTGTTTTGGCAGCGGTGTCTTAAAGTGGACTTTCAGATTAGTATCTCTGTTGTGGTCGCACATTTTAGTTTTTGAAAAAAGTCACTATGGCTTGGAGTTGTACACATTTTATGACTGAATGTGGATGGTATAGATTACATTTTATTCAATATTCACTTCTGGATTTTAACATGAGAAGTCCATAGGCTATGGTTGCTGGTGGTTATACTTAGCCAACCTAAGTATACTACAGTTATTGTGGCAGAAACACATTGAATCTACTACAGTCACTGTAGTAGTAACTCATTAAATATACTACAGTCATTGTGGTAGAAACACATTAAATATACTACAGTCACATTAAGTATACTACAGTCACATTAAATATACTACAGTCACATTAAGTGCAGGTGTCATAATTTATAACTCCCCTTTAATCCCCCCCCCCCATCTGTGAATGCATCAGAGGCTCTCTAATTTAAGACTCAGCACTTCAGGGCCACATAAGTGCTGGCAATGGGACAACAACAAAGCTAGTTTAAATACACATCTATTTCAAGACAGTGAGTCCTCAGTTAAGAAAGTTTGCTTTCCAGACCCACTTAGAATAAGGATTCAACAAATGTAATAAATGTGGCATATGTAGACGGTCTTTCTTAAAACATTATGTGATTAAAATATATAAAACAATTTGTTAATTTTGTCCTGGCATATTTTCAGACACCTTTAATCCATTGCTAATGTTTGCATGCCCTGGATAGGCCACGTGGCGTCAGATAGGTAACCCCGTCAATAGGTGACTTGGAACAGTTGATACACAGTCGTCCACATAGTGGCAGGTTACAGTGACAGGTGACACTGACCCCGTTCGCAGCTGCCATCTGAACAATGACCTCGATGGCTGTTTGATTGAAGTAGCGTCCATCTCCCCCGACTACCATCGTGGACCCCTGGCGGTCTCGCAGATCGATGGAGGAATATATACTCTGGACAAAGTTCTGAAGGTAGTTCCTTTTGGACAGGAAGACGAACACCTTCTTCCTCAGACCACTAGTCCCTGGTCTCTGGTCTAGGTAAGGGGCTGTGGGTAGAGTCAGAACTTGCAGTGGACTCTCATCCATCGTTTCAATGTGGTACAAAAAAACGAAAACAAAACACGAGGGGGAACCTGTTGTGTAGATATGATCCCCTGATGGTTGAAACGGTGTACAGGGGTAACGGGAGGGAAAAGCCTTAGCCACTCCCAGTATTTCACGGGCTGGTAGGGGGAAGCTATGGGTCCAAAAATAACCAGGGGGACTAATGTGTGTGCAGAGGCAGATGGTAACTGAAGACGCTCCTTAGTTCACACATGTGCAGGGGGATCACTGTCAGCGTAAGAGAGGCCCCAAGCACTGATTCAGGGTCCATTTTCATTTGTGATGGTAATACCAAAGACACTACAGTATGGAGATCGGCAGAAACTGCTTCCCCAATAGAAATCACAGATCACGCTTGTAGGCGATGTCATGGCGACGTTGGCTAAGCTCATGCACAGAATCACGTAGTCGGGTCTAACGGTCGTCTCGTGCCGAACTGCGCATGTGCAAGCCGTCAACTGAAAGGCACTCGTTCGATATGAAGTAGTTTTTTTTTTGCGAAAAAATGAAAATGTGTCAGTTTGTCACTTTCACGAGGTTGGAGTAATAACGTGTTCAGCTACTGAAGACATCGGCTCGAATCTACGTTGTGCCTTTAGAGTTCGAGAAAATTAACAACTAAGGAAGAATGTTTCACTTCTCTCATTGACTTGTCAAACCCCAAACCCCGGTCTGGTCTGCCGAGTCTGCTTCCGAAGCGTTCCCCGGAAGTCTCGCAATGTTGCTCCTCTGGGTTTAGAAACTGGTAATACTATCGCGGAGCAGTGTGAAGGGTCAACTTCTTCTCAGAGAGTAGAATGCAATGCTGCCTCCTAGGGCTAATGTGGTCTGTTTTGAGAGGCTAGTGTATCATCCCCAAACGTTATGAACGTCGTGACCTACCTTATGCCTTTCAACGTTTCTTGTGACCTTCCAGTCAGACAAAACAATATATATCTAGCCACAAGTCAATTGAAAGCTGCTTTGAGGTCCAAGTGCACTTTTTTGGGAAGAACTACGAGTGCTGTAGTGCACTGTTATTCCATTGTGTCCACTCATTAGCCTGGTAAGAAAAAAATACATTATAGGTCTGATTTCATCAGAGGTCAGTGAGATATGTGATGTTTTTCAGGTCAAGGCTGAACAGGGGAAGACCAAAGGTACCTGTCAGACACTCACCATGTTGTCGTACCCGTTTACATAAAGGAGCCAACTTGTTCTAGCCTGGGTACCAGTCTGTTTAGCTAACATTGCGAAACATGACACGAAGTACAAGGAGTGGAATGTTAGCTAAACGGACTGGGACCCAGGCTTAACTTGTTCTGCCAATCGTGATACTCCCATCCCTCCAGTCCATTCAATACCATTTTGATTGAGTAGTAATAATACTGTATACTGTGATACTTTATATTTACAGGTATAGCTATTAACAGCTACAGCTAGACATTTGGACATAGATAAGCATATAGACGTTCCAATCTTTCAGCTGAATGACCATGTTGTTGGAACATGGCTGTAGAGCCGGCTAGAAATCATATTATTTGGTCATTTGGACTGTCGTGTTACCGACTGTTGTAGTCTTTTGTGGGTAATTATCCAGAACCACACCAGTAGTCATAAATATGCTTTATTTATTAAAAACAGTATTACAGTACACATGTGCTGAGAGTCAATGTGACTCAGTAAGTGGTGATAACTGCTGTTATTCAGTTGGATGCCTGTGTGCTGTCCATCCAGCTCCTCACCACTTCTTACCTGGTTGTATTCAGACTTAAGATCTGCACGCTTAACTCTCAACTCCTCACCATTTCATACCTGCTTGTATTCAGACTTAAGATCTGCACGCTTAACTCTCAACTCCTCACCATTTCATACCTGGTTGTATTCAGACTTAAGATCTGCACGCTTAACTCAAATTGTTGTGCAAGTCTCCCATTCACATAAAAGAATGATGTACGTTTTGCATATTTACGAGGTTTGTGCGCGGATCTCAGGTATGAATACTGTCCACCATTAATTCATAGTTTACAGTGTGAAATACAGTTACATAGAGGATTCCTCAAATGCATGTAACAATATGAGGATGTTATCGATTAATTTCACCCCAAAATTAGAACGCTAAACTGATAAATGTTAGACAATTCATTTGGTTCCTTGTATCCCAAAGACTTTAATGCTGAAGAGGAGAAGCGATTCCTTTTTACACTAGCTATAAGGCAAACTGTGGTTTAGAGACACAGATTCAGAGTCCTATTCAATCAACTTGGTCCGACTATGCAGTCGACAGAAGAGACTCACTAAACTGACATCCTAAATCTCCTTAAAGCCTTGTTGTCAGGGCCTTATCACATATTTTCGCCAAAGGTTGGTCAATGTCTTGTTTCTGTCCATAGGTAAATGTCTTGTGTTTGTTCTGAGCTGAAGTTGCCTGTCTCTGAGGAGGTTGAAGTGGAGGTAGCGGCAGGGGTGGAGCGAATGGAGATCTGGGTGGATCGGAGGGAGTAGGAGGCCCCTCGGGTTGGCATCCAATGAATTCCCCTCCTACGCTCTGACCGTCCCTTGGGTCTCACGTGGATGTATTTCCCGTTCAGATTGGTGTCTCCGCAAGCGTTGAACCACCAGCCACCTGCGAAAACCCATCGGATTAGTTGAACTGGATGCTGGTGTAAAAAACAGCAAACTCCATTCAATCTAATGTTCCATTAAATCGAATGCTTCATAAATTAGATTAAACCCTGTCAATAAAGAATTTCATTCAAACAAACCCTGTACTTGAGCCCTACGATAAACCATGCATCCATAACATCCTACCCACTCCCCACTACTTTACCTGTGTAGGTGTAGGCACAGTGTGAGTCTTCAAGGTTGTCATTGTCCCTGTCCTTGGTGGAGAACTTCACACCGGTGTGGTTGCTCATTGCGTCAGGCAGATTTCCGGACGCCTGTGAGAGGTGGATTCTATAGTGGGCCTCGGGTCCATCCAGAGAGAAGTTGTACTCGATGAAGCGTTTTCCCTTTTTCCAGTCCTCCAGTTGGATGTTCAGGAAAGATTCACCTTGACTAGCGAGGGAGTGGATCTTCCTCAGGCCCAGCCAGAACTCCCCTGTGACGCAGACCAATCAAAAAGGTTCAGTGCTGAAGCTGTACACACATAACCAGGCATGTGAGGTGATTGGTCTGGTGCGCTGGTCATGGGAAGTACACATTGCACCTCACAACTCGATCACTCACCTTGAAAGTCTCCAAATCCGTTTTCATAATTCTCCCAATTCTGATCGAAATTCACTGACCCATCCTTCCTTCTCTGGATGATAGCAGCCCCTCCATCTGCAGAAAGGAAAGAGGAAATACATTAGTAAACAATGTTTCAGTCCAGTCCAGTGGAGGCTGCTGAGGGGAGAACGGCTCATACTAATGGCTGGAATGGAGTAAATGGAATGTGTTTGATACCATTCCATTCACTCCATTCCCTCCATTACACTCCATTCCAGCCATTATTATGAGCCGTCCTCCCCTCAGCAGCCTCCAGTGGGAGCATTGGGATCGTTGGCGCTACTCGTTGTCTGTCTTACCTTCACCCATGTCACAGTAGACCATGAAGGGCTCAGATTGGTTAGGCTTGATGGCGTACACTCCACTGGCTCTCTCCCCCCTGTTGAATAGCTCACTGCAGTCTGATGAGAGATCTGTGACACAACCATATATACAGTCAATCAACAGCACGTTGCAGTGATTGCTGAAACCTGTTGTTCCTCAAACATTGTGTTTTGTAGGGACCCTGAAAGAGTAGCGGCTAATGGGAATATAAAATAAACAAATTATCATGATCCTTTTAAGCCACTTTACCCGTCATGTCCAAGCTGCCATTGGTGGAGGTGTTGGTCAGATACCCAGCGAGGGTGGGCGTGACAGACTGGAAGTTGTCAGATTGTTTCTCAAAGGTCTCTTGCATGAAAGGGTTGTAGGTGAGCTAAAAATGTGAAGGAATAGTGTTGTTATGACACAAGCAGTCATTTCTGGCACTCTGCACAATAGTTGTTTTATAGGTTTGAAGCATACACATGAAGCTCTGCTAATAATATTTTAAACCTAACTGCAAATATTATTTTTTTACACTATTGCCAATTTTAACTTTGCAGCTGGCCCATCTAGCGGAAATCGCTCGGTTCTGCCTCAAGGGCAAGATTCATGACAAAATAAACGTCAACCTGCTGAATAATCAAAGTGGATGAGGTGAGATTCACCCAAAGCGCTTTGAGCATCTGGTGATATATGAATCCAATTAATGATCATTATTATAATGGATTGAACATAAAAATGTAGTCATGGAACTGTAAGGCTCAAGCTACATAATTTGTTGTACAATAACTGTAACTACCTTCATCTCCAGAGATTTCATCTTGCTCCTCTGGTGGTCGAGCTGGTCGCTCTGCTCTCTCACAGCCTTCAGCAGCTCACTGATACTCCTCTCCTGGGTGTGGATCACATCCTGAGGGACACACGATGGGACAGGGATGGGTCATTTCACCAGACATTACTATTTATCCTTCTAGGGTTCAAAAGTTCTATCTGGTACTATAGTGGTGTTACTCTTCTAAAAATGGAGTAGACTAATCCCTAGAACCAAAGGTGACTTTGGTCAGCGTATCTTCTTGAGGTTTGTTGAAGTGTCTGAAAACCTTGTAAAATGTCCCCATAAACCTTACCTTGTTTTTGGTATCTTACCACACCAGTATTCTACATGGACATTGCAGTGAGTTTTGGGAGAATCTTAATCAGCTTTAACACTATGTTCAACTCAAAACAGCATTTCCCCCCATGGGTTAAGGTCAGGTTGGAGTGGCTCACCTTCAGTGAGTCGATCTCAGCCAGCTGCTCAGCAGGCACCAGTCCCTGAGACAGGCCGCTCAGTTTCTCCTCCAGCCCTCCCACCTTGCTCTGAAGCTGGCTACGCTCCTGCAGGATGCTCTCCACCTTGGAATTGATCTCCAGTGACAGGTTCCGTATCTCCTCGTTGTTGGCCTTGAGCACCACAGTGGTCTGCTTCAGCTCCTCCTCTTCCTCCTTGATCTCGCTGGCCAGCACAGACAGCTGGTTGAAGGAGCTGTCGAAGATGTTGAGTTTCTGGAAGATGTCGTTGATCTGGCCCTTGGTCTTATGGACGAAGTCCCTGAGGCTTTGGCCGAGCTGGAGGAGACCGTTGGCCAGGAGACGCACGTCGTCCAGAGCGGCGAAGCGGGAGCGGGTTTCGACGGCGGGAACCTGAGGGAGGGGAGAGTCTTTGGACATGGACTCCTCCTTGGTGCAGAGGACCAAGGGCCAAGAAGCCACAAGAACGAACAGAAAGGTTAGCATTAGCTTCATGATGTTGTTTGTTTCTGTCTTGAGACCTTCAAGATGTTGGTAGTGAGCTGGCCGGCCGCTTGAGTCCCCTCTTCCCTTGAAAAGACACCACAGGACAGAGAGCTAGTAAACTATATAGGCTGCCTGAGATGAGGTTGATTATTAACTTACTCAGTCTCCACTGAATTTACCTCTACAAATATGGATGCAACGTTCACAAGTCCAATTTACAAAGAGCTTAACTCTTTCATGAGTAGACTTTGTTTGAAATGACTGGAGTCTGACAGTTATTTCAGTGTTCTATTCTGAAATTCAAAAGAAAAGAACTGAGTGGGCAGCTGTGTGTGATGCAATCAATCGGAATGTTCAGGTCAAAACACACTGGTGTGCCAGTCTGGTGCCAGCATCCACCACCAATGCCAATTCCAAAATTGCCACATCCGTGTGCCAGTCGGTGAATCGTCATAGAAGACCGAATAGGCTGTTGTTGTTGGTTCTCAGAAAGCATTTTAAGCAAAGTGCCGAAGTCCAAATATTGTTGGAATAAAGTTCCAAATCCAAATATATCCTGCAGTCTGAACAGCCAAAAAGCACATGGGACATGCGACTTGTGTCTGAATGGTCAAATCTGATTTATTTGCCCTCAAGTGGTTTTTAGACTGTTATTTGGCATATCTTGTTGCTTGCTAGCTACTCTGTTGACAGTTATGACAAGAACATGTGGTAGCTAACTAACTTGTTAATTACCTCCCGAGTGGCGCAGTGGTCTAAGGCACTGCATCGCAGTGCTAGCTGTGCCACTAGAGATCCTGGTTCGAATCCAGGCTCTGCTGTAGCCGGCCGCAACCGGGAGACCAATGGGGCGGCGCACAATTCGTCCAGGGTAGGGGAGGGAATGGCCGGCAGGGAGGTAGAGCATGGTGTTTGCAACGCCAGGGTTGTGGGTTCGATTCCCACGGGGTGCCAGTATGAAAATAAAAAAAAAGAATAATGTATGCTAACTGTAAGTCGCTCTGGATAAGAGCGTCTGCTAAATGACGTAGATGTTAATTGTTTACAAACAAATTAGCAAATGTGCTAGAAAGCTAAATAGCTATCTAGTTGACTGCTGTGGCTAGCCAAAAAGGACTTGTTTTGAAAGCTGGATAATCGTGTTATCCTTTGAGGCTTTAATAAAAGTGTTCTTACGCTACGATTTTGAACATTCAAAGCAACTGGGAAACGCCCATGGCAGGCATTGTTGTCACCTTAGCTTGTTACATAACTTTTGAGTGAAAGGAAGCACAAGCACCACCACCAATCAGCCTACACCACTGTGCACACACACCCGTCGTTACTATGACAGCTAGCGTAGCCATGTCAGTAAATGACTGCTGTCTGAAAACGTGTAGCTTGCTGTTTGGACAGTCAGTATTCCAAAATGGATTTGAAAAACTAAACTGATTTGAGGCCTGCAGTGTGTACAAGGCATATGACCTAGAGCAGGGCTCCAACCCTGTTCCTGGAGAGCTACCCTCCTGTAGGATTTCACTCAAACCCCAGTTGTAACTAACCTGGTTCAGTTTATCAACCAGCTAAATATTAGAATTAGTTGCGCTAGATTAGGATTGGAGTGAAAACCTACAGGACGGTAGCTCTCCAGGAACAGGGTTGGAGTAAAAACCTACAGGACGGTAGCTCTCCAGGAACAGGGTTGGAGTAAAAACCTACAGGACGGTAGCACTCCAGGAACAGGGTTGGAGTAAAAACCTACAGGACGGTAGCTCTCCAGGAACAGGGTTGGAGTGAAAACCTACAGGACGGTAGCTCTCCAGGAACAGGGTTGGAGTGAAAACCTACAGAACGGTAGCTCTCCAGGAACAGGGTTGGAGTGAAACCTACAGGACGGTAGCTCTCCAGGAACAGGGTTGGAGTGAAAACCTACAGAACGGTAGGTCTCCAGGAACAGGGTTGGAGTTAAAACCTACAGGACGTAGGTCTCCAGGGAACAGGGTTGGACGGTGAAACCTACAGAACGGTAGCTTTCCAGGAACAGGGTTGGAGTGAAAACCTACAGAACGGTAGCTCTCCAGGAACAGGGTTGGAGAGCCCTGACCTGCGAAGAGACACACACGCACACACTCTAATCACGCACTCTACACACAAACACATTGTAATATTGTAATGTTGTAGTATTGTATATTGTACATTTGTAATAAGAGAGTAATAATGTAATTGTCTTGTTTGATGTTATTGTTTTATTGATGATGTAGGCTTTGTTGTGATGTCATTGTTTTATTCCTGTAATGGGGTCTTAATAAATACTAAAGTAAACTTTTTAATCAGGCCATGGGTCTCTAGTGGCAGGTCTGTTTGTCTCTCAGTGAAACAGTTACTAATGAGGCTGAGTTATTTTTTAAGTTCCTAGTAATAGTTCCTAGTAAATTTAAGATTACCAAGTTTACATATTGTATTGATTAGGTAACATGAGCCACCACACTTTGCAATGTTTTGTTCAAACTGTGTTTTACCTGACAAAAAGTCAATGATGTAACCAAGGTTGGTAAAACTGAATATATGTAAATATTTTCATGGCAGCAACTCTGCAATGACAGAGTGTATGGAATACTCACTGACATCCTAAATGATAATAGGCCTTCATACACTTCATGACCAAAAGTATGTGGACACCTGCTCGTCAAACATCTCATTCCAAATTCATGGGCATTAATATGGAGTTGGTCCCTCCTTTGCTGCTATAACAGCCTCCACTCTTCTGGGAAGGCTTTCCACTAGATGTTGGAACATTGCTTCCATTCAGCCACAAGAGCATTGATGTTGGGCGATTAGGCCTGGCTCGCAGTCGACTTTCCAATTCATCCCAAAGGTGTTCGATAGGGTTGTGGTTCTGTGCAGGCCAGTCAAGTTCTTCCACACCGATCTCGACAAACCATTTCTGTATAGACCTCGCTTTGTGCACAGGGGCATTGTCATGCTGAAACAGGAAAGGGCCTTCCCCTAACTGTTGCCACAAAGTTGGAAGCACAGAATCGTCTAGAATGTCATTTTATGCTGTAGCGTTAAGGTTTCCCTTCACTGGAACTAAGGGGTGTAGCCCGAACCATGAAAAACAGCCCCTGACCATTATACCTCCTCCACCAAACTTTACAGTTGGCACTATGCATTCGGGCAGGTAGCATTCTTCTGGCATCTGCCAAACCCAGATTTATCTGTCAGACTGCCAGATGGTGAAGCGTGATTCATCACTCCAGAGAACGCGTTTCCACTGCTCCAGAGTCCAATGGTGGTGAGCTTTACACCACTCCAGCCGAAGCTTGGCATTGCGCATGGTGATCTTAGGCTTGTGTGCGGCTGTTCAGCCATGGAAACCCATTTCATGAAGCTCCCGACGAACAGTTCTTGTGCTGACGTTGTTTGCAGAGGCAGTTTGGAACTCAGTAGTGAGAGGACAGATCTACACGCTACGCGCTTCAGCATTTGGCCGTCCCGTTCTGTGAGCTTGTGTGGCCTACCACTTCGCTGCTGAGTCATTGTTGTTCGTAGACATTTCCACTTCACAATAACAGCACTTACAGTTGACCGGTGCAGCTCTAGCAGGGCAGAAATTTGACGAACTGACTTGTTGGAAAGGTGGCATCCTATGACGGTGCCACGTTGAAAGTCACTGAGCTCTTTAGTAAGGCCATTCTACTGCTAATGTTTGTCTATGGAGATTGCATGGCTGTGTGCTCGATTTTATACACCTGTCAGCAACGAGTGTGGCTGATATAGCCGAATCCACTAATTTGAAGGGGTGTTCACATACTTTTGTATATATAGTGTATTTGCAAGCAATAATGGATTTATATGTCAAGAGGCGCGATCAATTCAGCTGAAATTCTTGTAAATTCAGGAATTAAATCACACGCCCTTGAAAAACTCTAGCTCCAACAGATGATTAAAACATCGGTCAGGTCATACATCTCTATCGTGTCTAGTAAGTTAATACATGCCATCATCTGCAGAAAAAAACAAGTTTGCACAGCTAAGATTACATCCTGGGCTAGTTCTACTCTAGAAAATAGGATAGTCATTCCTACTGATACAGCAGATACTGCTACCTGTATGGTAGTGCTGATGTGATTTTTATCCATACAACCTCTATACAGTACAACCTATATACAACCTATATACAGTGGGGGAAAAAAAGTATTTAGTCAGCCACCAATTGTGCAAGTTTCCCTCTTAAAAAGATGAGAGAGGCCTGTAATTTCATCATAGGTAACGTCAACTATGACAGACAAATTGAAAAAAAAAATCCAGAAAATCACATTGTAGGATTTTTTATGAATTTATTTGCAGATTATGGTGGAAAATAAGTATTTGGTCACCTACAAACAAGCAAGATTTCTGGCTCTCACAGACCTGTAACTTCTTCTTTAAGAGGCTCCTCTGTCCTCCACTCGTTACCTGTATTAATGGCACCTGTTTGAACTTGTTATCAGTATAAAAGACACCTGTCCACAACCTCAAACAGTCACACTCCAAACTCCACTATGGCCAAGACCAAAGAGCTGTCAAAGGACACCAGAAACAAAATTGTAGACCTGCACCAGGCTGGGAAGACTGAATCTGCAATAGGTAAGCAGCTTGGTTTGAAGAAATCAACTGTGGGAGCAATTATTAGGAAATGGAAGACATACAAGACCACTGATAATCTCCCTCGATCTGGGGCTCCACGCAAGATCTCACCCCGTGGAGTCAAAATGATCACAAGAACGGTGAGCAAAAATCCCAGAACCACACGGGGGGACCTAGTGAATGACCTGCAGAGAGCTGGGACCAAAGTAACAAAGCCTACCATCAGTAACACACTACGCCGCCAGGGACTCAAATCCTGCAGTGCCAGATGTGTCCCCCTGCTTAAGCCAGTACATGTCCAGGCCCGTCTGAAGTTTTCTAGAGTGCATTTGGATGATCCAGAAGAGGATTGGGAAAATGTCATATGGTCAGATGAAACCAAAATATAACTTTTTGGTAAAAAACTCAACTCGTCGTGTTTGGAGGACAAAGAATGCTGAGTTGCATCCAAAGAACACCATACCTACTGTGAAGCATGGGGGTGGAAACATCATGCTTTGGGGCTGTTTTTCTGCAAAGGGACCAGGACGACTGATCCATGTAAAGGAAAGAATGAATGGGGCCATGTATCG